ATGAAGAATTTTGAACTCTGTTGCTTTAATGAGTGAAAAATATTCTAAATGAATTGTTTTAAGAGGTGCTGTAACCATGTGTCTGTATTTCTAGTTGTCACTGATGACCTCTCCCTCCTCCACTGCTTCTGTACCCAGACTCAATGGTGCCATATCGGAGCATCTCTGCACTCCCGCACTCCCTTCACGTACCGAGCCCCGGCAGACAAAAGATGGCTGGTTATCGCTCTCAATGTGCTGCTTGCCATTGTGCCAGGGCTGCTGGCCCTCCGCTGCCGCGCCAACCCAGCTTATTTCATGAAACCTGTTACCAAGGGACAGACCAACGACGACAAGAAGAAAAACTAGGACCACACACCTGGCCACTGAATACAGGAGGAATACTTTATGCTTTGAAAAGGCAAATGCTTTCAGGGGTGTGAACAAACTGAAAAACAGCCTCCTCCCCCCTATCTTAAATCCCAAAGGAGATCCAGAAACTTTACTCTCTGGGTCTTTTTTCAAATCGGCCACCTCACATGGCACTCCCTGTGTGGACTGTTGGACCCTGATAAGAAGTGCTGCTGATGGAGGTGAGGGACTGTGATCAGATCGCTCAGCTTTCAGCTGGCTCAAGCAGATAACCCAGTCCCAAAATTTAGATTACAAACCCAGATCACACAGTTTACACACACATATATGTGTAACCAAACCAAAACTCCACAGATTTATTTATTTTAACTTTTTTTTACTGGGATAAAAATGTGACTAATGGCGAAAAGTGAAATGACCAGGCAGGGATCATTATAGTAAAATAACTTCTAAAGATTCATTGAATATTTAGATTTTTTAAAAAAAAATGTAAACATATATGACATTTATTAGTGTTCCATCAAATACCAGGATGTTTCCTCATTTTCTTGTCCAGATAGTCCAAAGAAAGGATCTTACTGCAGTTTGCTGAGTAACATGAACAGTTCAATGACAGATGTACCATTTACTGCAGTACCTGTGGGTGTATCTTAGGATTCAGTTTTTTTGTTTGTTTGTTTAGTTTGTACAATAAAGAAAAAGTAACACTGAGTTGTGAGTTTTTTTCTGATGAGCTTTCAAATATATTTTGAAATCTAGCTGGGTACTGGCTGCACTTGGACTAGATTGTTATCTGTATGCTGCCTGTGTGGTCTTATCTTGTGTGTCTGCTTCTGGAAAAATGGTTTTAGAAACAGAAAATAAGTTCGGTTTTTAACAGATTCAACATTGCTGTCTCTTCAATATTGTCCCTGGCAGGGATGGTATTCAGCAGAGTGTAGAGTGCAACTCTGCAGTTATCAGCCTGATAAGAGGTGAACCCTGGATGTAGGTGAGCTGTCACATGCAGACGTCACACAAACACAAATCCCCCTGGTCAGTAGTCAAAATGTCTCATTCAATAAGAAACGAAAACCATAACTTAGATATGTGAGATTCAAAGAAAAAGATTTAATCAATCAAATATGTGTTAAGGAAAGAGTTATTCATGATTTCTTAAAGTATTTCATTTTTATAAAAGTAAAACATTGGGGCCTGTTTGCCATTTGAATCAAATGTATATATTTTAGATTAGAAACGGTTTGGTTGCAATTTATTTTAAGTTTTGGGAGCCAAGCATTCTCTGTTTTTATCTATAACCGGGTCAAAGTTCATGGCTTCACTGCAGGCAGGATTTTACCTACATTCAACATTAATAGTGTCAAGGTAAAGTTCTTTGTAAAGCTCAAAAGATGGGTTGTTTTTTACTTTCAAAGTAGTTTCATGGTAACAAATATACGTCTTTAATGAAAAAATAATTTATTAGTAAGAGCAAGGCATAAAAGGTTTCGAAATATATGGTTGTGCAGTAGTATTGCATTGAGAATTGTATATATATGATTTTCCTTGAATGTTTAGGGTGCAAAGAAGGATCCAGTAGAGGTGATAATCTGTAAGACCACATAAGAAATTGATAGTGATCTCTCAATTTATCTGTCCTTTCTTTATATAGTTTTATATTACATTTTCTCTTTTAGTTTTGTCTAATTTTCCCCCATTTTGTTTGATTTCACCCATAATTTCCCTGTTTTGATCTGTGGATGGATTGAGGGTCAGTTAAATGACAACAGTGACCTTGATAATTAAGGGGGTGGGTTTAATTATATTTTGCTTGATATGACATTTAAAATAGAGGCTATTTATTATGTTTTCTATTTCCTCCACAGAGTGCCTTTTCTTCAATGCGATCTCTCAGGAGGAGATACTGCTCATGATATCATTATGAAGAGAGAATATTTACTAGGTTGTTAAATTATTTAAAATCCAAGTATTTGAAAACTAGCTGTTTTCCCTCTGTCACCATGTCACCAAACATGTTGAAAGAGGGAAGGTAGCAGCCAAGTGCCACAAATGAAAGCGATAGTTCCCAAATATGGTCCTCAGAGACCCTTGCGTTGCATGTTTTAGATGCGTCTCTGTTTCAGCACAATCCAAAAGATTGATGACCTCTTCTGCAGCAATTAAGTGGTGAAGAAACCAGTTTATGACTCTAAAAAAAGTTGAACTGTGTTTTCAAGTTTGAAGAAGTCCACGGTCCAGTAGGTTGTTTAAAAAAAAAAAACTTTTTTTGAATGACTATGACCTGGATAATCACCAGCACAATTTATTGCTCATTCATAAATGTCAGGAGTGTGGCAGCAAGGAGCTAAGGAAAATCAAGTAGTACAGTGGTTCCCAAGGAGCAGGGTTTAGATTTAAAGTATTTAATTAAATGACCAAAAGAATTCATGTTTATAGTTGTATTGAGCTTGGAGCAGAAAGACACCTGCAGCGACTCAATGACTCAACATCTCAGGACCTCCTCCTGTGTTGGAAAAATGGAAACAAAGCCAGGAGTTACATCTCAGACTGAAGAGGCTTCAGTTAGCATGTTATTGTTTAGGACTAAAAATGCTGGGGAAAAAATTAACCAATGTGTTTTTTTTATTTAAAAAAACAATATTGTTTAATTTTGCAATGTTTTGTTTGATTGAACAAAACTATTGACGCAGTCTCTTTTTGACAGATGGAACCAAAGTAGATATTTGGCCTTTAAAAGGTATGATGATGATTTGGGCTTAGCAAAAAATTTACTCAGACATTTTAAAGAAAAACAGTCAGCTATAAACACCTGTTTACCAAGCACCTGTATACCAAAGTGTTTTAAAGACAAATTTTTAATATGTTTAACATTTGACAGTACAGTAAAAATGAATAATGCAATGATTAATTATCTCAATAACAGCTGATATTTAAATGAACATAACTCAAAAGATGATTGTATAGATTTTTCAAGGGATTACAATCATTTTCCAGACCACTGTTTGATTTCTAACCCTGGACACCCTGAGAAAACATTCCCTTTGTATTTGACAAGTTAAGCAAAAAGTAAAAATATGGTCATTTAAGATTTACAGTGGATGATTATTTTGTCAGATTGGAACTTTTTCCCTAAACCATTAGATCCTCTTAGGATCCTCACTGCGAGGGCAGACAAAAGGAGAAATGGTGCCAGAACATTTTCAGCAATCAGAGTCGGTAAAATCTACTTGATATTTATTGCCTTTGAGTCTTTTTACAGCAGTCGAACAAGAAACTCTGTTTATACCAAGACTTTCCCCTTTCCTTAATTTCAATAATTTCTGCGACTTATCCAGAGCATTTCTGACTGATCGATAAACATGTTTTTACAATTATGGGTAAAATATAAGGAGAAAAAAACTAATTATTTTTTATAAAGTAACAGAGGTCTACATGACCAATATTTACAGTATATACCTGACAACTTTACATTGTGCTTATGTGGCATATATCATTAATAATTTAATAGTTAGTTTCAGTGTTTCCCTAAAATTATGTTTGGCTTATATTTGTGCATATTGCTCTTTTCATGTTGTTAGTATCAGCCTAATTGTATGTCCAGACTGCTGTTGGACAGTTTGGTCTCTATCAGGACCAAAAGTTATCTAATATATTGTCCGTTTGACGAAATAAATACTGTTATGCACAGAGTTCCCTTTCAGCTGGCTCGACAAACAGGACAATACAGGCCAGAAGACCATGGAGGTCCATGAGAGTCAGTGAACAGATTTTGATACGCACAATAAGGCATTCAGTCCTTTGTTCAGAGGTGGTTCTGAAAATTTAAATTTGTATTTCTCTATTTTCATTAAAGCTTGATTTTTTTTTATCATTCTGTTAGCATTTTAGGCATGGATTTGCCTTTAATTTCCTTGATTTTGTGTTTTACTGTAACTTAATCAAAACATGCTTATATGTACAGTGTGGTTAAAAATAAATGTACAATCCCTGATTACATGAATTATTAGCCCTCAAGGTTTTTATTTTATTTTAATCCTGCTAAAGTGTAATTATTAGAGATTGGTGCTAAATTAAACTTAACCTGGGGAGTCAACTTGTTTCAATAAATGTGAGATGGATGGAGATGTAAAAAGGGCTAAACGTGGGACCCACTAGTGCCTTTTAGGAAGGTCTTCTTCTTCTATTCCCCACCATGTGTTTCTCTGCACAATTTTTACAATCTCCCATACTTGTATTGGTCTCCTTTAGTATTGTTGTGGCTCTAAAGACAAAAGTGTTGGCTTTATGTTACACATGCCTTATATGAGTTGTTTAATTTATTTTTTCATTTTCAGAGGAGGGATTAAACAATGCTCTATGAAATGTCCAACTGTAGCCTCGACCTTGTGTTGCTTGATCTTCATGATATTGTTTGTTAGTCATCTCCTGAGACCTTTGCAAAACAACTTTTTCTATTTCTGTTTGTAAAAAGAATGGTAAACTATTGCGCTGTTTACTTCACAGTTATAGATTAAGCTTAATGTTGTTTTACAGATGAAATGTAAACTACGTATACTGAGGTTTGTGAGTACAAGGTGAGGAAATGTGAAAAAGTTTAAAGGGTGGGGTGTCAAACTCGTATATGCTGTTGGCCAACATAAAAAAATGTATGAAGTTTGTCTTTTCATTTTATTCACTTTATTAAGAATGAAATACAACAGCAAGACAAAAAGTCATAGGAACACCAAAAAAGTAGATGACTGATCAAATATCAAAGGGAGAAAACAGTGACATCCTACCCATCAGGTAAATACAGCTGTCCAAGGATTCAAGTTTTTGAACAAATCTGATACAATCAAGTTTTTATCTGAAGCTTTTTCCGGCTCTCTTCCACACAATCCACTGTAAGCCTATGGGCCAAATCCATTTCATTGTTCTGAGTGGGTTGCTTTGGACAAAGTCCAGCAATTGATCAGCTTATAACACAGAACATATTTACAAACCAAAGATTAGAAGAAATCAAAGGATTTGTTACTAACTGGCATAGAAAGAAAATGGTGTTACATCGACTTCCTGGAGTGTAAGTACAAAAGAAATAGCTTTCACTAGCAGATCATCCGTAATAAATAGTAACATTACACAAAAAGCAGTTATTAGAAAAAGCCTCTCAGTGCGAAAAAACAAACAAGAACAGAGCACCTATTAAAGAGCTTTAATGAAAAAAGCAACAGCTAACAGCAAACACACAAAACAGCTCAGGGTTACGAAGGAACGCACGCTAGCTTGCATCGCAGCCGTCTGTGTGAACAGAACACTGGTACGATTATTTTCAACGCAGAAGAAAAGGAAATCCAATTAGAAAAAAGAAATTTCTCTAAGTTTCCATCTGACATGCATACACTCACACATATTTACACCGTGATGTCACTCTGACAGATAAGGAGAGGATTATTGTTATTTAGGCAAAGAAGGTTGCAGCCCAGTTAAAAGAAGCATCAAAACAATCAAACGCGGAGAAAGGACATTGGAGGTTAGCTTGATGTTAGAGATATCCTTATCAAAAGTAGTAAAAGCTAAGCTGACAGCAAGGGAGGAAGCAGGTATATGGGATCTACTCTCTGTCTGTATGAGCCATGGTTTGCACCTAGGCATTGCAGATGCTGTATTATTTGGTTCAGTAGTAGCTGTGAACATCATCTCTGGCTTTGTGGCCTTCTCCTCCGTGCCTCCTGTTCCTGCGGTGTTCGTGGTGCTGGTTGTGATGGTGACGTCTGTACCGGTGCGAACGGCGAGCTGAGGAAACAAAGACAATGCAGTATTATTTACATTGCAGTTTTGACAAGACATCAGAGCTCTGCTGCACAGCAATGACTCCCGAAAGCAAACCGTTTTTTTTAAGCAACAAGGAAACCAAATGGGAATACATAGGAGCAAACAATAGAATAAAACACAAGAAAATAAAAAAGACAGAGGCAGAAAACTTAATGGTGATCCATTTTAGTTAAAAGCTTTTTATATTGTTCCGACCTCTTTAGAAGGGCTGGAACATTTAGTAGGAATTAGGAGATTGGCACTAGTTTGGTTTAAATCATATTTTTGCGACAGATTAACGTTTGTTCATAACAATGATACATTTTTCACACGCTCCATACTTGTGGAGTATCACAGGGATTAGTGCTAGGACCCATTCTCTTTACTATATACGTATATGCTCCCAATGGGTAGAATTATTAAACAACATGGGATTAATTTCCACTGTTATGCTGATGATACTCATCTATATCTGTCTATAAATCTAGATTGAACTAACCCATTAAATAGACTACAAGCATGCATTGATGGCAGAAAAACCTGGATGTCTTTAAACTTTCTGCTTTTGAATGCAGACAAAAAAGAACCTTAAGTCTTTGGACCAGAGTCTTTGAATAGAATCTGATTAGTCAGTCACATCATTTGGATATGACTAAATTGATCTTGGATAATAAAGTAACAAATATCTAATTTAAATTCCATATCAAAGAGGTTTCTAGAATTTCCTTCTTTCATCTCCAGAATATTGTGAAACAATATAAATATCCTGTCCAGTGGTGATGCTGAAAAACTAGTCCATGCATTTGTTACTTCAAGACTGGACTATTGTAATTCAGGAAGTCTTCAAACAGTAGTTAAAAGCCTTCAGCTGATCCAAGATCCTGCAGGCAGAGTTCTGTTAAAAGTTAAAAAGAGATCATATGTCTCCTATGTTAGCTTCTCTTCATTTGTTTGCTGTTTAATCCAGAATAGAATTTGAAATCCTCCTTCTCATATATAAAGCCTTAAATGGCCAAGATCCATCTTATTTCAGAGATATGATTGTTCCTTATGTTCAAAACAGAGCACTTCCCCCTCCATCTGCTGGTTTACTAGTGGTCCCTAGAAGTTGTAAACGTTGAATGGGAGGAAAGATCTTTTAGTTATCAGGTTCCTCTCCTGTGGAACCAACTACCAGTTTTGTCCGTGATGCAGACACGCTGTCTACTTTTAAAGGTAGGCTTAAAACTTTTCTTTTTGATAAAGCTTATAGTTTGAGTGGCTCAGGTTATCTAGAGCTTTCTCTATAGTTATGCTGCTTAGGCTGCTGGAAAACGTAGGGACCACTTTTCATAATTCTGTCTCATTCTATCTCTATTATCCCATTCTGCCAACTTACTTAAGTTCCATCCATAATGTTCTCTCTGCTTTTTCTAATAGTAGCTTCATCTAGTCTGTTCTTGTTTGGCTGTGACTGCATCCTGGAGAAAAATATTACCTGGCATGTTCTGGCACGGTCTGTAATAAATAGCTAAGCAAACTCTTAAGTTCTGAAATGTAGATGGCTGCAGGACATTTTCAGGGATATTAACCTAAAAGATAAACACTTATAAACACCGATAAGATAAAACACTTAAAAAATTCTAGAAAAGTAAACGATACATTGAAACAATAGTATAGTGTTCATGGACCCCTCCAAGAACACTGACACGTGACAGAACATAGACTTAGACTTCAAACTCACACTTTGTGCAAATGATCCTGGGACGCTCCCAGCTGCCGTCGGCCCGGCAGCGTGAAGTTGGGATGTGACGTTGGTAGAACCCCTCAGAGCATTGGTAGCGCACCACTGAATGGATGTCATAATGCGACCTCCGCCGACCTATCAAATGGGCGTTCTCCACTGCTGGTGGGGTCCCACATAACACTGTCAAAAATATTTCCAACCGTAAAATTAGATGAAAAAGAAATTTTATGAAAAAATATATAGATATATATAGATTGATATAATATAGGTTAATATTAATATATTATGTAAAATAGTAGGTGGTACATTGTGCTGCCTCTAGATGGCAGCCTTGTCAATACATCAAGCTCAGCTGAAAAGAAATGTCGACAGAGGATATAGGTGATGAAAACCAGAGGTGTCAAAAGTGTTTACTATTCAAGTGGAAGTATAAATCCTACTGTTTAAAAACACGATTGTAGAAGTTAGAGTATCAACTTAAGCTTTTTACTCAAGAAAAATTGTAAAAGTAAAATTTTTAAAACTACTTAAAGTGTAAAAGTAAAGCAGGAAAAAATGTTAAGGAGAGATGCTTTACTGTAATAGCATATTAAAGGAATATATTCCTACAATTCTGGATGACAACTTCCTTATACAGTACTTAATCTTCTTAATTTTTTTAACTAATGCTAACAGTGTCAAATTTAACTTTGCATCATTTTGAAAAACTATTTATTTTGTTATGTGGTGAACAACAACTTGGTGCAGCATTGAGTCAAACCACAAGGAAATTATTTGTCTGCATGAAAGAAATTATTTTTATGGTTTTTATTTTCTTTTAAATACCAACAGGCCATAAATGAGCTTCAATGAAACATTACTAATGGGTCTTTTTTGAAAGTTAAGGAGTTGAAAGTAGAGATAATTGCAAAACAATACAAGGCGTAAAAGTAAAAGGTCTAAAAAGATAATTACTCCAGTAAAGTATAGATAGCCAAAATTTCTACTTAAGTAAGGTAAGAAAGTACTTGTACTTTGTTTGTGTTTTCATCAGAGGTGTCAAATAACAGACTGTATTTAACTGCTTATCTCTAACACTCTGTTCATCTTTTGTCTTTGTCCTCACTCCTATGACACCTCCAACCCAACTTCATGTTATACCGGTGTCTCCTTTCCATTTCCTTTTATCCTACATGCTCTATCTGATGGAGGATGGCTCATTCCCCAACCAAAACTCTGAGTGAGTATTAAGAAAACTTGACAAAAAATGCCCCTGACAACTTTTTGATGATATTTGTGAACCTGGTAATAACTGGCAAAAACTCCAACTTCACTTCTGCTGCTGTGGCGAGCATAAATGGGGTCAAACGCGCCACAGGAGGAAGATTGAGATTGATATTGCATTTTGCAAAATCAATATGGGTCTGGGCTGAATAGCAATCTTCACTCAAGTTTGTGTTTGTCTTTGGAGTCCTTGCTGTGGTGACGTTTAGGGGAGAAGACATAGTCAGTGAGGAAAAACTCTTAACGGTTCCACAATTTTAATAAAACTTTCGACAAAAAAGAACAAAAAAGGGAACAATGCGAATACAGAGAACACAGGCGGATAAAGAGCACGGATGACTAAGAGGATCCCAGCTGGTCGCACACAAACCACCATGTGGTGTTTTCCTAATAAATAATACACTTTACACAGTGAGGAAACTCTGTTTTGTTTACTGTGGATTTTTAAAACCGTGTTTTATATTGTAAAAAATAAAAAGAGAGAAAATGCATTTTTGATTTTAGTTTGTTTCCATCAGTATCACCTGTGCCTTTCTTGCAGATGTAGGGCAGGTTGTAGTTGCAGGGCACGTCGTTCCACTTGCCGTCCTCATGGGCAATGGTCACCACACAGTCCTCTCCGCCTGCAAAGAAGTTATCTGGCTGGCTTTCCCTCCAGTTCTCATAAACCTGCATAGCAACAAACAGTAAATATCTGCTTTTAGAACAGTCCAACTAACAAAATACTTTCATTGCATCTGTCAAAAGCAAAAATACCCACATCTTCACATTCTTTAAGCACTCAATCAACGAAATGATGCTGTGTCGAGTTTTACGTGAAAGTTCTGATGGTTGATGTGTGTAGTTAGACAACAGCTGATATGCTGATTGATGCTGGTGTTTACCTGCCAACTACAGCCTAAAATGTAATTGGTATGATAAAAAATGAAATAAGGCAATCTCTTTCCAAAGAAATGTGCAAACACATGTTTCAGATTAAATGATTGATGAGGAACATCTCTAATTGGTTATTTCACAGAATATCCTGCTTACTCGGACGTTTCTTAATCTGCTTGTCCCTTATTGAGGGATTTGGTGCAAAAATCTTCCTCATTGAACATCTTTTTGCAGACAATTTTGCCTCTTTATTTAATTTGCTGGTTATTTAATTTCACTGAATAAATGCTGATGTGCTGTCATCAAGAGGCCATTTGCTGGCTTATTCTGAAGCTGGTGTTGGCGTCCCCAGGTCCCACTTGCTGGTTTTCTGTGGTCTTAGTTTATTCAGGTCCTTGAATCAAATTCTGTCTGAACCAATTTTCTGCGGCCATCTTACTGTAGTATGTGAGATAGTATGTATATGATCAATATGAGGAAGATAGATAGATAGATAGATAGATAGATAGATAGATAGATAGATAGATAGATAGATAGATAGATAGATAGATAGATAGATAGATAGATAGATAGATAGATAGATAGATAGATAGATAGATAGATAGATAGATAGATAGATAGATAGATAGATAGATAGATAGATAGATAGATAGATAGATAGATAGAGATTGTTTGCAGCAGATTAGGTTACCTTGGTATCCCTCTATGACTTGTAAAATCACACATTGTAAGAACAAAAAATTATGGATACAGTATATTGAAGTTTAAGCTCAGAGTTAATATTCCCAAGAAGAAGGAACTGGCACTCCCTTATATATTTCAAAAACAGTTGCTTGTGTCGTGTAGTGTGACTTATGACTGACCAGATCATTGCCGTCTGTCCACTGAAAGTCCTCCTCCACTGTGCGATCATTTAAACCAATCCAGGCGTTGTCGTGACCCAGACCTAAAAACAAACCAGCAGTGTAAAGAAAAGTTAACCTCTAGAAAAAAAAAATTGTTTTAATTTTGCTTTGTTTAATTGCTTTTGCCTTTGTTTACCACACAGACTATCAGCATTACATCCGTCTTGCTTAAATTAAGTGCATTTTGCTTTATTTTAAGAATTTGTGGTTCTTACTGAGGCATACAGTTGCCTGTCTTTTAGATTTGTGCATTATAGATTGTAGCCAAATAAAATCAGATCAACTGACCTTCAGACAACCATACGTACCATTAATAAACTCCTGTTCAGCAATGGAGAGGACACTGCTGAGATGAGAACTGTGCTCCCTGCAGTCCTTCTCTGCATCCTCCCAGGTATGTCTATGGCTAAAGTACCTTTGGGGAAAACAGTGGAAGTTTGTGTCACTCTATGTTTAGTATAAATGCAGCTTTTAACATGATGGGGTGTGTGCATTCACACCTGTAGCAGTGGCCATGAAACTTTCTCCAGCCATGTTCGCAACCTTCAACATCTGAAATGAGTAAGAGAAAAATGAAAAGTGAAACTAATCTCCTCTTCAAATTGCAGTTAAATGCTGAAGGCCAGATAATCTGCAGATGAAAAGCCTTTAGAGGCTATGAGGAAGCCGAAGTGTTCTGTCTCATTTGGCAAATAAAGACTAAAATATATGACTGTGGCATCTGGAGAAGTTAAATACTTGAACTCTAATTATATGTGCCTACTTTCCATTCACAGCACACGTGGCCCTCTCTATGCACTATTGGTATTCATTAATAACACCAAGCCCTGTGCATTCATTTATAACTGCAAAGCTCAGCCATTCATTAATTCTCATTAAACTGGCACCGACACACACAGAGGCCCAACCTGGAGCTGAAGGTGACTAGAACCAGTGAGGTGCAGAGTCACCATTTCAATGTTGGAGTTTATTGTAAGGAGTAAGAATTTGTCTTTTGAGTTTGTTTCTATCATTGTTGTTTAAAGTGAAAATATTATTTCCTTCTTTATACATCCTAAAACCTAAAAATATTGTATTGAAATTTTATGTAACAACGGTACTCAAATTACTGCACCATTGTTGAGAACACACTCCAATTAGATGTGGCATTAAGGGTGTTTTTTCATTATCAAACCTTTGCTTTAACCAGTTTTAAGGTGTACTATAATTACTTATTCCTTTTCCTCCATGTAAATCTACTGGTGTCTAATGTTTTTGTGTTATTTATAGTTATGCTTTCGAAATGAAGTCAATTAATCAATTTCAACCAAAAATATCAAATTTTACAAATGCACCAGCACTAGCTGGGCTGTGACTGTCAGTTTAAGAGGAAGACGACATCTTGCAGCTGTGTTATACTTTTCACCCTAGTTCACATTTTTCAGGTTCCTTTTATTTTACAAAAATGTTATCACTACCTCCTGGGATTCATTCAAAACTGTCCTTCTTAAACTGGCTGAGATGGTCATAAAAGTGTGAAAGGCATCGATCAAAGAAAATATCTAATCTGAAAAAGAAGTTAAAAGTCCTTTAATTGTTTTGTTGGCTACATTTTTCTACTTATTTGAGTTCAAATGCCTTCATTATATTTTTTTATTGTAAAAAGCAAGAAAACTATTGGATGGCAAATGTTGGTCCAAACTGATTGGTGGAGTATCTATTAAATTCTCTTCACTTCATATTTATTCACAAAGCACATTCAAGTATGTGGTTATTGTGTCAAAATTTAACATTTCTAAAGAGCGGGAAGAATTCTGATGATAAAATGCACTTTTATTTGCTCTCTTTTTTTTTTCTTTTTTTTAAGTCATGTTTTTCCTGGGTTGTCTACAAACTATTGTTTGGTTTAAGGTTAAAGTTGTTTCTCTTACTGAAGATATTTTGCTCTTGGTTAGAAACATTCTCTACAGCAAGGAGTTAATGGTCAATTATATGTGCAGCAAAACTCTAACATAATAATTTGTTTTTGTTTTCCAGTGGTGATGATCATTATGTACAAAGTAGTTTAAGAAGAATCATTATGCTGCAATGAAGGGATGAAATGCCGATTTTTACAGAATTGAAAACTTGGGATAAAGGATTGATGGCTTTATCTCAACTCAACTTAATTTTTTTAAATAAAATCCTAAAAACAAACACAGCTGCCATAAATTACTGTGCCTACAGTACCAAGTAAAGTTAAAACTATATAAAAAACAACATAAAATATTAAATTAACAAAAAAAGAATAAAATAAATTTATGAAATCAAATAAAAACAATAAGACAAACTACAAACACAAAAACAGAGAGAGTTTCATGCTGTGTTGAAAGCCAAAGTATAAAAATAGGTTTTAAGATGAGTTTTAAAAATAGACACTAAGGAGGATTGTCTAATGAGAAGGTGAGCTTATTCCACAATTTTGGAGCACCAGCTGAAAGAGCTCTGCTTCTGAGCTTCAGCCTGGACCTCGGTGCCTCCAGAAGTAGTCGTCAGCTGACCTGGGGCACCAAGTGGGAGCAAAGGGGTGGAGAAGCTCAAAGAGGTAGGGAGGAGTCAAGCAATTTAAATACATAAAAACAAATAAAAGAATGTTAAAATGAACTTTGAAATGCACAGGCAGTCAATGCATTCCCTCTCATGGACTCCGGTTAAAAGGCGAGCAGCAACATTTTGCACCAACTGGAGGCGTGCTAAGGAGGAGTGGCTCACCCCAAAATAAAATGCATTACAATAATCTAGCCGAGATGTAACAAAAGGCATAGATTGCTGTTTCAAAGTGCTGCTGTGAAAGAGAAGGTTTAACCTTGGCCAGCTCTCGGACATGATAAAAGCTGGATTTTACTACAGAGGTGATTTCTTGGTTTGGTCCAGTAAGCTTTGTGAATCAATCAGCTTCAGACAGAAATCAGTACCTGCTTTGTTGCTTCTGACAGAATACCTTGCACATAGTAACCAATTCTAGCACAAGGGGGTGATCACCTCTGAGACCTTGTCGCTGTTAGTCTTCCTGCAGCTGTCGAAAAGGTGAGCTAAGATGCTGCGCATTGACACGCAGCAGTAACAGATGCTGCACATTGATTAGGATTATTTCCTCCTGCACAGAAAGCTGGAATCCTTTTAAAGCAACAATAGAATGACTGGAAATCATTAAAAGACTCATCAGTGCCGTTACAAACAAAAAATTTGCAAGTGCCATACTTTCTAAAGCACCAAAATTACTTTTGAACAAGCATCACATACAAATGTCCCCCAAAATTTAAAATCATCAGATTTTTCTTATTGTGCATGACTGCAGTACTTCCTCCCTCACCTTTCTCACACGTGTCTCCTCCATAGCTCGGAAGGCAGAGGCAGAGGAATGAATCGATCTTGTCAACGCAAGTTCCTCCATTTTCACAAGGTTCGGACTGGCAGTCGTCGATGTCTGAGTGCAGGAAAAAGGCAGTGGGAACAGACCAGATTCAGATTTGATTTGATTTTAATTTAACTTAATGTATTCTGCTCATGTGTTGTTTACAAAGAGCTTTAAAAAACAGCTGCAATACAGATTCTAAGGCAAGAAAAGCTGGTGATTAGTTCTACTTTAGATACTAAATTGTGTCCATGTTGGTGAGTACATTATCATAATTCAAACAGGATGTGAGGAGAATACAAAATGCCTAATCTCTTCGGCTCTCATTGTTTATGCTCATTCTACTGTAGAGGAAGGCACTTTAGGAGCCTTTGAAGTATTATAATGTTTACAGAGCCTTATTCTGTCTGTGTAATGCATTTCAAGTATCTTCTTTTGCATGCTATTTACAAATAATTGCATGAGAACAAATTAGCAGGCTCTATATGCTGCTTACTCCAATGCAACTACAGTGAAGTCATAGATTTTGTTGTATGACTCAGCTGTTAGACCCCTGCAGGGTCTAGGTTCAGCCCATCCTCTTTCTGGCTGATGTCTTCCCTGCTGAGGTGGTTTCCAGCAGCATTACAAACGCAAGGTTCCAGTGCTGCCCACTCTTAGTGAAAATTAAGGCATGAAAAGAGAGAATTTCTGTTATATTAGTAACTACAGGTTGTCCACCTTAAATTGCACACAGTTTTCATGACTGGAAGGATATATTTAAATTTAAAGCAGGAGTGAAACAGAAAAGCCATTTACTGGATCAAATTCACTTTCTCACATAGAAATGGTTTCTTAGAGTGAAGCAAAAAATGGCTAACTGGTGAAGGTCAGCGGCTGTGAGGAGCTAAATGTGTTCGACAGATTAAACTAGACTGACCTTTAGCCCCATACGAGACATCCACATTTCATCATTAGGAACACTTAGTGCTGGCAACAACAGGATTCTATATTCCCATAGGTTTGGTCAGATATATGTTCTAAAGTAAAAACAGGTACAAAATGCATATCTATCTTAAATCCCAAACCCTGGTACCAAATTTTACTTAATTTTCTAATGTTCATTACTCTAAGTTTTCTTAATTAAACATAGAAACAGTTTGTGCATTTAAGATAAAAAAAAAATGTCCTTGAATGAGCTCTATCAAGAACAGTGTCATAGGTTTAGCCTGTGTAAAATTTTCAAGGAATCTTTTGCTGTCAAATTATCAATTAATTAATCTTTAAAAAAACAACAACAGATTTTTAGAAACTAGAAAAATAAATTAGAAAAAGGATCATAGTTGAGGCATTAGTGATCAGAGAACCCCAGCCTATTTTATAACAGCCCCGCTTCTTTCAGAGTGCCCCAGTGCAGCTCTGACCACAATGTATCTTACCACCATCAGCGTGTAAATAAGTGTGTAAATGGGCAAATAACTGACTGTAGCGTAAATGCTTCAGGGTCCTTGGACTTGATAAAATGACACATAAGTACAGAGAATTTATGATTTCTAAGAACACCAAACACAGTTAAAAGCCAAATAATGAATCAGGCAGTAAAAAAAACAAAAATGTCATCACCACAAAACTTGTTCTCAGCTGTTTCAGAAGGTAGCTATGACTAAAACAAAACAAAAAAGAACATTCTGTTGAAACGTAATTCTCACAGATTAAGAAGTATACTTTTTTTTTTCGATAAACACAGTGTTGTAACATTCCCAGTTTGGTTATTTTTTTTGTACAAAAACTAAATCCACTGAAATACAGTCATATTCACCTTATATCTTTATCTTTGGGTATGCTTTACAAGATTTATGTCATGATCTCATTAGGATTTTTGGTTCTGTTCCAAGTTTCACTTTGGGTTTTCAGTTAGACTTTGATTTATGCCATTCTGTGTCATTCTGTCTCAGAAACCAGATCTTCTGCATGTGTCACAGTTAACACAGATATGCCCCCGCCCCTTCCGCAGGTGACAGCAGACAGTGGTGGCCTCTGATTGGTCAAATCTACATCCGCTCTACACTATGCATATTTCCTGTTCGGTACCTTACAGTCTTGTTTTGTTTGTATGACCGCCATTGTGGAAAACAATGTGTGAAAATCGACCAGCTAGAAGAGTGAGGTGCGCAAGAACACTGGGACCCATTTTCCACTTCAATCCCCACTCTTTTTCACCCTCATGTCCCTCCGTTGTTGCACAAACTTGCCCCTTGTGTTTTGCCACTTCCTCACACCCTGGCTGTATCTAAACCCACAGCTAGTTCATGATAATCCCTCTTGCGTTGTTGCGTGGAATAACATAGCGCAGACCACACTTCAAAATTGGGCATAAATCAAAAAATATCTGCATCATACCTGTGATAAGCTCACTCCGACACACTGCTGCGGGAGGATAACCAGCCCTTAAGTCATTAGTTTCATTTCCATTTAGTGTCATCTGAGTAATTTTCTAGTTATATTTAAGTACTGTTGTATTTCTTTTTTACTCTCTGTTGCTCTCTTGTGCCAGTCTCCTTTGCCCTAGCAACCTTCTAGATCCTTCTGTCCACACCTGCTCCCAATCAGTTGATTAATTAATTCATTGTTCTGTTTGACATGTATACTCCTCTGCTTCTCTGTTTGCCGGATTCTCTTCATCGGTTATTCCTTAGATTTATTCATCCATAGTGTCTCCTAGTTTTTGGTTTCTGAGTTTCTTGTCTGTTGGTTCTAGATTATTGCTTCTGTACAGTTTATCTCTTCATTAAATTTACAATAATTTCATCTGGCTCTTAAGCTCTGCATTAGAGTCCTTTACAAAACTCCACAGACTCTGACACTTTATAGCATCCATTTTCTGTCTCTCTTACCTAGTTAGAACTAGATGGTTGGATAATGTTAGGAATCCATTAGTTTGCGTAATTTACCTTTAACTCTTTATAGGTGGTGATTAGTGGGACTGACATAAAAGTGATGGATATAAATTGATTCTTCACGCTCCAACAATGAAACAAAGGCCAATTGCAAAATTAATCTAATCCAAACTAGGGGTCCCATCACTGAGTAAAGCTGGTGATCATTTGAAGCAGTATTGCACTAAGCACAGAGTGCTTGTTACTATGTTTTATAAATCACTTCTTTGTTCATCAAGTTTATTTAATTGGTTAGACTGCATGTGTTGGAGACAAAACAGCGTCCCTGAAAAGGGTCTAGACCAGGTAGGAACAAGCATGGCTGCAAAGAGCTTATAAAACAAACCTATAAATAGTAACTTCTAGAAATTTGGTCGAATGTTATCTATAAGCTGGGAAATGTATGCCTATGTTACGCAAACTACCCCTGATTTAGACAATTAAAAGATGTCCAAACCTGAGAACACTACAAGAAATATTCATCTGGAATGATGCCAGTAACGTGTTAATGGCTAAGAAAAATTGGGTGTCTGGGTGTTCCTAATATAGATTATATAGAAATATCAATTAAAAAATAAAACTTCACTAGATTGTGTGGAAAAAAATACAAGTTATTGCTGGATTGGTGCTCAAATTATTTAAACTCATCATTAGAACATGCACAAATAGAAGAGGATTGATAAAAAAAAATATTTAATGCAACGCATGTTCATGTTAGTATTAATATAAAAATAATTGGACATGCATATTTTTCTCCTCATAATGAACTTATATAGTTAAGAGGCACTGTGCAACATTATTAAACATCATCAAGTATATTCGAAAGGCAGAAACTTCCCTCATCTGTATTGTATACATCATCTATAAAATACCAAATTTTTCTTACTGATCTTTTTCAGCTTATTCTCACTGCCCCCACCCCGCAAATCCTTTCTGGGTCTTGACACATCTGATTCAAGTTTATATCCAATTAGCTGAAAGAGTTTATTTTATTTTTTTTATTTTTTTACATTTAGCATCTAAGAAGACGGGTTTTCTTACAATGCCTTAGAGTAGTGCTTAATCAGTAGGTCCCCAGGCTGTCTGAGGGTCTTTATAAGTTTTTTTTTTTATGCTTTTAAAAATTTTTCACACATTTCTGTTCAGTCCTGTGGCAGCACACTGTTCAGGGCTTAATAATGAGTCTAGTGAGCAAATGTAGGAATAAAGAAGAACATCAAAACTAAGATCTACATTAGATTAACACTCTAGCAAAACTATGTCTTTGAAAGGAAAGAAAAAAAAGCTTGACTTGAGAGATTTTTCACTTGATCATCTACAACACATCAAGTTTTCAAACTTTTGTATCTCTTGTGTGTTATCGGTATCAGTTAACATCAGTTTAACAAAAGAAATCTTTAAGTCTTTGTAACCAGATGCCAGACATATATCGCTAAGAGATCCAATAAAAGTGGTTGTCTGTTATATCTAGAAACAAACACTGGTTTATTCTTTTCTCAAAGAAACCCTTTATGTCTGAGTGATTCATCGATAAGAGTTGTGTGACTTGAACAACAACAGAAAACATTTCTCCAAGGATGATCTTTTGTTTAGTTGAAAATGAGTCAAAAGCTGCAAAGATCCAAAGTTTGAAATATCTTCAGAAAGTCTTAAATAAACTCTTAAAGAAAACAGTTCAAAGGTTTTTCACAAAGTTAGCAACTTTAAAACTAAATGCAGTATTGTTAACCTAAACAAACAAGATAGCAGCAAAGAATGCCATTGTTTGTGGAGCAAATGCTTAGCAATGTATTAAATGCAAGTTCAAATCTAAGACTTCTAAAAATTTTAATTGATTAATTTAAGATTTTTAAACCATGATAATTAAATGAGCTTTTTCCAATTTCTTAAGGGAGAAGAGATCAATCTAAGCTTAAATATATGAGATGCTGTCCTTATATTTCTGAAGGTAACAGCAAACTTCAACGAACTCCATTTGGATAATATAGGAAGGACCTTTTAGTAGCCTTTTTTAATGTGTTTGCATAAAAACAATGAAATCTTCAAATAAAATCCTACATTTTGAGGGACCAAAATGATCGTCTAATCATTTTCTGCTGGGCCATTTTAAGAGGGACAGTGTGACCTTTGACCTGCTGATGGTCATCCTGTCAAGAGCCTTGTTTCAAATGCAAGAATTGATGTATTATATGCAGAGCGTATATTATGTCAAAGTGTGTGTTAGTTGCGGAGTGTGTGTGTCAGTGTAAAAGTGTACAGATCACCCACCGATTTCACAGTTTCCCCCAGCATATCCTTGTGGGCAGTAGCAGCTGTAGCCCGTCCCCTGGGGAAGGCATTTTCCTCCGTGCAGACAGGGGTTAGTCACGCAGGGCTCCACCTCAACTAAATGAGACAGAAGGTGGACGTTAATTAGTGACTTGGCGAATGAATGCTCAGATGTCCAAGCCTGACATAATTTCCATGTTGATCCTGCATGATTAGGAGGATTTTGAGGTGAAATTAGTCTGTGAATCTAAAACAAAAACCTGATTTATCTGTGCTGTTTATCCAAAGGTATTACTCAATAAACATATTCCCTCCCTGTTTTCTTAAGAGGACCCAGAGAGCATTAACCTCGCCATCCACTCGCGGCCACAGTTGTCATGGTTACAATATGGAAAGAAAGCCCTTGGCCAGCTCCGCCAGCCGTAGTGGGCAGCGTGAGAACTTCAGAGATTAGCCATCCTCAACAGAAATCAGCAGACCTCCCGCTGAGTGCTCCATTCACCCCCTAAATGTCTGCGTGTGTGTGGTCCCCCCCCCGTTCCATAAACACAGATTTCCATATCAATGGACCAACACCACGTGTTTCCCCCCCTGATCCGCTCATTAACGGCACTCAAGGTCTTTGGTAAGCTGCAGCTCGTTCAGTCTGGCCGTAAAAAAAGCTCAGCTGTGGGAGTCTTTGTTCTTCCAGCTCTGTCTCTAATGCTGAAGGCTGCTTACAGGAGGGGGTGCTGTCCTGTGCAGGGTTGTCTGTTTGGATTTAGGTGGTGTGCACAAGACAAAAGGTAAATAGAAGAAATCAACACATCGGCTTTGGTTTGCCCCAAAACTGAACCTTAATCACATTTTATTTTTATGATTATCAAACCGCTGTGAATTCAAACTGAAGCTTCAAGAGAAATAATTAAAAAAGCCTTCAGACACAGGAACCCAAACACAACCAGAAGTATATATTAACTCCATCAGCATGCTTATTGTTTTCAAGGTCTTTTCACTTAAAATTTAATCTAAATTGTTACATTCCCTTACTATCACCCTCCCCCTGACGTAAGGTCTGCATTTAAGTCAGGCTTGATCTGTAAACACCACAAACTGTCACTCCCAAGTGGAAGCTGTTTTGTTTTTTCCTTTCTTTGAAAAGAACCCAGGAACCACAGAGCTTATCATAAATTGGATAGATGCTAGAACGGCAGTGGTAATGTGACGTCCACATTGTTTTTAAATGAGTATGGCCTTAAAGCAACGGTGGGCAACTCCAGACCTCAACATTTAGCTTTACCCCTGGTCCAACACACCTGAATTCAATTCTTGAATTACCTCCTCAGTATGCAGTTTTTCTTTTCTAAATAATCCAGTTACTTGATTCAGGTTTGATGGACCAAGAACACATGTAAAAGTTGCAGGATTCTAGCACTAAGGAACAGGATTTGCTCACCCATGCCTTAAAGGATGCCAATAAATACAGAAGCTGCTAGGCTCAAACTGGCATGAATAAAATCAGCACCTGCCTTCATGACTAATCCAAATGACTGAATATTTATGGCTGGACAGAACAGAGCTTGAGCTATACAAACAACACACAGAAACAAGCTGACATAATTTTCTAGAGCAGGGTTCTACAAAATTTACGTTAAGAGTCTTTCTTGCGTTTCTGCTGATGCGATTGTAAGTTACATTGGAATGGTTTCTCTCTGTGTGCATGTTCGTACTTTCACTGTGTTAGTCATTCGTTGCGTTCGCCTGTCTGCTAAGCTCAAAACAACCGCGACTGGCTTGACGGAGAAACCAGGAGAACAGCTGTGCATATTTACGACAGTGCACTTTTACTTTCGCCCTCTGGGGGGAGCCTCGCTGGAAAATCAACCCCGGTTGCATAGTATACCTTTAAACTTTGTAAAATGAATTCTTGTTCTCAGAATCCATTTCAGCCATTTTTCAAACAAGAGAAAAGATTGGTTCAAATGGATCAGTCAACACAACATTTCTAATATGCCAACAGTGAGCTTATGTAAACTCTTGAAGAGCTTTTTAAAGTTCCTTCATCGCTCCAATGAATGCATTCTGCCACTCCTCTTAACTTCTTCTTTAAATTCTGCCGAAGTACAGCTCTTAAAAAAAGGCGTGCATTTTATTATCTGTATGTTGGTCCAGGCTGCTGTATCAGTCACAGCAATTGATCATCCTGACAAACATATCAGCTGTTATGACAGAAGGAGATTCATGAAAGAACTGGTGTGAGCATTGGGTAAACCTTGCAGGATTGGCCGTTCATTAAAGCGAGTGGTGCAGAAAAATCAATATCCTCTGGGAGAAGCTGACAGAGTGGCCTGCACACCAGCAGCCTGAGCGACGTCAACAATGGGTTGAAAGCAGCGTAGCCCCGATGATAAGTCAGAGGGGACTCCAATTAAAATATTAACTGAATTTGGAGAGGAATTTATGTATAACCAGTAAAGTCACAAGTATGAGCAGTGTTTCAGCAGAAAAACACAAACAAAGGAGGAAACAACTAAATAATCTATGATATAGAGTTACAGAAAGAAACCCTGATCAGTGGAAAGTAATGTGAGAGTTGAGGAGCTACCGAATGTCCTGCAATCCAACCAGAGGTTTCTGTTTTCTGTTCCCTCTTTTTGATTCAACTGACTGATGAAGCCCTCTTTGATCTATTCAGCTGAACACATGCCGGCCATCACCAGCATGAAACTCCACAATCACCAGGGACAGAACAAGCGCTAAAGTTCACAAAAGAGAGGCAGAATGCTGGGAGTCATTATCCAAGTCCAATCCTCTGCATCCATTCATTTCTGCTGCAGGTGTAGCAAAGGCATTGGAGTATGTATGTGTGTTTATGGGCCTCTATGGCTTCAGGGCCTCTCAGTCAATCAATCAGCCCTCATACCGAGCACCAGCAGCCCAGATGGTTGCCCTCGGCTCCTCTGTCGATACAGTTTACAGCTGTTCTCCATCTGCAGACTCCTCTCTCCCCCAAGCAAAGGTTTCAAAATGCCTGCTGCAGACATGAGCCGCTTTCAGAGGAAACGAAAATACATCTGCACAGAAATGTGTGATGGCATGATGCCCAAGGGGGGTTATTAAACACACAGTGATGGGATGTTTTGTGGATCCGCTGTCGTTATCAAGCAAGTAATATGTAGTAAACCAGGTGGGCAGTTCAGCGCTCGACTGAGACGTCAAATAGTGGCAGACTTAATCATCAGATTCTGTGCGGTGGCAGGCATGCGGTAACGGCTTGTATTGGAAATAAAAGGCTTGCGCTGAAGAGATGGGATGAGGGAGTGGGTGGGGGAGTACGCTGAATAAATCACAGAATGGCAAGGTCAGAGAAAATGAAAAACATGGACTTAAAGGAAGATTCTCCTTTGGGGACAGAAATGAATAGTTTTCTATTTATGCAGACACACATCAAGGGATGATCATTTTCACCCAAAACAAGTTCTAAAACAATGTATCACATGACGTGTTTTCAACCTCACTGACATCACTACAATAAGATGGTAAACAGAGATAGCTATCCGGCAGTCAGACATTTCCTACGGTTATCCTTCCCCTTACCCCTACCTGTATGCCTCTGCACTTCTTTCAGGTAGTGGTTAAAATAACCCTCTTTGGTACGGACAACACTTCAAGCAGCTGACACTATTAGTTCCTAAAAATTCATAATTTTGAGTTAATTCACCTCTAATTCATGTGTATGATGTGATTATACTATTTAAGATATTCAAGTGAAAAAAATATCATATAGCTAAATTTTAAACAATGTATTTAATTAGTTTTTTTTGCATGTATGAAACATACGAAGCATAGATTACATTTTTTCAAACAAGCTTCAAACACCCCATACCCCTAATCCAGACTCAGGGTATAAGAGAAAATAAAATTAAGCCAAAGAAGAAATAAATAAGTATAAAAAATCATAATGATAAAGTCTTAAGCCTAGATATTAGTTATATGAATTTACATAAACGTAATCAGAGACTACTCTTTTATTTTTTTCTGTTCCACTAATGCATTTCAGCCTGGTGACTTTCCAAAAACTGCGTGAAGGTGTCCCCTGATTTTTATATATATATTGGTTCCTGCAGCTCCATTGAAGTCGTAAGACCGTCTGTGCTTTCCCAACTCAAAGCGATTACTCTCCTGGCTCGAAGCACACAAGTCAATCAAAGGTGCCTTTTTGTCGCTTTGTACAAAGTGATTAGGATATACTGCCAATATATAGAAGATATAGAATATATAGAAACCAGACTGATTGTATTCCTCCATAATGTCTGAAATGTTGTACGTTTCCAATCACAATGCAACAATGTCCCCATATTAACATGTAGGACAAGATGTCAGGGTGATAAAGTAAAATGTACCTTAGAAGTTGTTAAAGAAAAATGATTATTTTTTAGACTTTAATACAGTTAATCTTATGGCATGTGTAAACACTCTCACTTGAACATATTTCTTAATTTTGAACAAGGCTGTGTTAATGATTTAAAACTACTAATGGGTAAGTATTTAGACCACCAGGCCATAGAATGAGTATCTCCTGGGGGGTGAATAACAGTTAAGCCTGCAGGAGAGATTTCTGCTTGGTTTACAGAAGGTCAAAAGTCTTCCAGAATAAACAACCAGGGATGGTGAGGCCCCCTGCATTCCACGGGCTGTCTGTGGGAGCTTATCTTGTGTTTTATGACCCTAGGAATTCTAGATGCCAGGACAAGCTTTCCGCCTTTTCTTGTTAAAACAAAGAAGCAAATGACCCCAGATGTTTGCAGTAAATAAGGGGAAGCCCTAGCAGTGTCAGAGATGGCTCCTGGTTGGAGGACCGAGGGCCAGCCCCTTTTTGAATGGATTAGATACAAGAGGATAAAGCTTTCTAAATAGCAGAAAAAGATCAGATTTTGCTCTTGCAAACTCTCCAAAGATGTCTTGTACGTCTTTGCTTTCTTTCCTCCTATGTCAGGTAATGGAATGTATGTCTCTGTTGTTCTGCAGTTTCTGGTGTAGGTTTGTGCATTGTCTTATTTCTAAGTTTATGCATTGTCTTATATTGGATTAAACTCTGTAATTCTGTGATGTCAACACGCCTTGCTGATTTTCATATTACCAAACGCAGCTCGCCGGGTGGACCTGGAGAGGGAAGAAAATGAAAAGCCAACCTTTTTCCAAAGTTAACTATGTTAGAATATTTTCTTCCTTTACAAAGTACATTTAGATTTCTTGTATTCTAATAAATACAGTTTGATTAGCTCAATTTCTGCTACACTTCCAGGATTTCTGCATTGTGTTCACATTGGTGTGATCTGCTTCAGAAACCAGACCGCAGGATGATTAAATGTGTCCCAGAGGTCTGGTGTAAATCAAAGAAAGTTCAAAGGCAGAGCTAAAAAATGCATCCCCAAAAGAAAATAAACATTGGGAGCTTATTGAAACTTTGTTTAATCACAAATCACATACACTATATTGCCAAAAGTATTTGCTCACCTGCCTTGACTCACATATGAGCTTAAGTGACATCCCGTTCCTAATCCATAGGGTTCAATATGACGTCGGTCCACCCTTTGCAGCTAGAACAGCTTCAACTCTTCTGGGAAGGCTGTCCACAAGGTTTAGGAGTGTGTTTATGGGAATTTTTGACCATTCTTCCAGAAGCGCATTTGTGAGGTCGCACACTGATGTTGGACGAGAAGGCCTGGCTCTCAGTCTCCGCTCTAATTCATCCCAAAGGTGTTCTATCGGGTTGAGGTCAGGACTCTGTGCAGGCCAGTCAAGTTCATCCACACCAGACTCTGTCATCCATGTCTTTATGGACCTTGCTTTGTGCACTGGTGCACAGTCATGTTGGAAGAGGAAGGGGCCAGCTCCAAACTGTTCCCACAAAGTTGGGAGCATGGAATTGTCCAAAATGTCTTGGTATGCTGAAGCATTCAGAGTTCCTTTCACTGGAACTAAGGGGCCAAGCCCAGCTCCTGAAAAACAACCCCACACCATAATCCCCCCTCCACCAAACTTTACACTTGGCACAATGCAGTCAGACAAGTACCGTTCTCCTGGCAACCGCCAAACCCAGACCCGTCCATCAGATTGCCAGATGGAGAAGCGCGATTCGTCACTCCAGAGAACGCGTCTCCACTGCTCTAGAGTCCAGTGGCGGCGTGCTTTACACCACCGCATCCGACGCTTTGCATTGCACTTGGTGATGTATGGCTTGGATGCAGCTGCTCGACCATGGAAACCCATTCCATGAAGCTCTCTGCGCACTGTTCTTGAGCTAATCTGAAGGCCACATGAAGTTTGGAGGTCTGTAGTGATTGACTCTGCAGAAAGTTGGCGACCTCTTCGCACTATGCGCGTCAGCATCCGCTGACCCCGCTCCGTCAGTTTACGTGGCCTACCACTTCGTGGCTGAGTTGCTGTCGTTCCCAAACACTTCCATTTTCTTATAATACAGCTGACAGTTGACTGTGGAATATTTAGGAGCGAGGAAATTTCACGACTGGATTTGTTGCACAGGTGGCATCCTATCACAGTTCCACGCTGGAATTCACTGAGCTCCTGAGAGCGACCCATTCTTTCACAAATGTTTGTAAAAACAGTCTGCATGCCTAGGTGCTTGAATTTATACACCTGTGGCCATGGAAGTGATTGGAACACCTGATTCCAATAATTTGGATGGGTGAGCAAATACTTTTGGCAATATAGTGTATCATGAGTTATGAACTACGGCCATATAAAAAAAAGTAAGATTGTTCGATTGAGAACGTTTGTCTAAAGGAGCGTAGTTTGCATCCATCATGTGATGTAACTGATAGGGGTGACATTGCTGCAAGACTTTCTTTGACTTTTCATAAAATCAAAGGGTGTTATTAACTGTAATCAAGCATAATATCTAAAATCAGACTCATTCTTACCTGACAAACTGGTAGCTGTGGTACTGATGTTGCTTCCTACTCCTCCTTGGGTGCTTTCTTCATCTGTTACACTTGGTAAGAGGTTCCCTGAGCCCACAGCATGAGACCAGGCAGACTCCTCATCATCCTGGGGTCCCAGTAGAGACAGTGGATAATCCAGAGAGCCATTGACAGACACCTTCTCCTCTGGGACCAAGTGGGAGGACGTTAGGGAGTCATTGGAGTTGTCTATGATATCTGCCTGAAGTGAAGGAGCCAGTCCTGTGGTTTGAGCCTGAGTAGTGGGATGATCCGGTGTTGATGGCAAGGGAGATAAAGGTGGGACCTGGGTATAGGACGTTAAGGGAGAGGTGTTTTGAGGTGGGATGGAGGAGCCAGAGGCATGGGATGGGGATAGGTCAGATTCTAATAGGAATTCTGGTGATTGAGAAGATGACATGGATGGCGAGAGTGATGGAGAAAATGACTGGGTTTGAACTTGTTCTTGTGGAGTTGATAGAGATGAGTTTTCTGCTGCTAATAAAGTAATCTGCTCTCTGGATGTAGAAGGGTCCTCCTCAGTCCCAGCTGTTGTGATCTCTGTGGTCACCAGAGGGCTGGTGGTAGTGGAAGTAGTGGTAGTGGTGGACTGTCCTCTTCTATGACCTCTCTCTCGGGATCTCTCTCTGGATCTCTCTCTTGGTTTACTTGAATCAGCAGGTCGCCGTGAGACCTGAATCTCTCCTTTTGCCTCAGCACCAATGGTTTCACCACTCCCTTCTTCCTCTGCTTTCCCTCTATCCTCTCCTCTCCTTCTGTCTTCTCCTCTGTTCCTATCCTCCCCTCTGTGTTTCTTCCCCCTCCCTCTGCCCCCCCTGCCGCTGGCTTTATAAGTCACAGTCTCCTCTTTCTTGTCAGCCAGCTTGGTGGTGGTTTCCATTTGAACACTGACCCAGGTTTCTTTGCTGGAGATGGCGAATTCAGATGAAGAGCTGGAAGGACTGAGGGTGGACATCTCTGAGCTTGCGGAGGTCTCTGTTGTCAGAGAGTCACCTGAGGAAGTAAGAGTGGAGGCCGTCTGTGTGGGAGAATCTTCCCTAGACGGTGTAGACTCTGCAGGGGGGCTGCTAAACCATGAAGTACTCCAGGAAAATAGACCTGTGGAGGGTAAGAAATGAATAATTAATGCAGGCAGAAAGAGAATACTCAAACAAGGACTTTGACTTTTAAAAAGTATTCATATCACTCGAGTTTTTCACATTTTTTTTGTCACGATTCATCTATGTAAAGACTTTTTATACGAGCCATCATTGCCAACACGATGTTTGGCAATATTAAGAAGAGAAAGGAAAATTGTGTATTTTTAGCAATATAGCCTTAGTGCATATGATATTCACCCTCTTTTACCTTGATAGCCCTAAATAAACCTGTGCAGCCATTCCTAATGAGATGTAATTGAATTAGTAAATACTTTAAACTTTACCTCAATTTCCCATTGATTGAACTCGTTGACCATATATCGATATTTCTATCAGTTTTTCCTGGATTACAGTAGCAATATTAATGTTAGCAAAGCTGTAAAATACAGATTTGGTGGTGCTGAGCACTTGAATCGCGTTTTTTGTTTTTTAATAGACAAAACTAGAGAAAGTACTGAATTTATGAAGAGTAATGAAAATGTACAGACAGTTAAAAAAGTAGTTAAAAAAATCTATAATCAGAGGCTTCTATTCATTTTATGACTTTGAAATATATACTAGGGCTGCATTATATTTTGAAAATTAACTTTCAATGCAACAATAACCTGTGATAAACATGCAAATTTCAAATCACACCTGTGGTCCTTTGCTGCATGTCTCTCCCCCTCACTCTCATACCCCCTTTCCTGTCAGCCTACTGTTGAAAAAAAAAGCCACTGGTGCTGTTCTACTGGGGCTGTCCTACGAGCTTGGCCCCATTTTCACTAGTGGTGAGTCTGACATAGTGGACAATTGCAAATCTTCTTTTGGAAAGTAAGTTTGTATGAATGATGCAAACAGCAACTTTTTAACAGAGTCTCGGACGCGGGCACAGGATTGTGCATGCGCATTTTTTTTTAAAGCAGAGAGGGCAGGTCTTTTCAAAAATTTGCAAAAGCCCTCCACTATACCTTTAATATTTCTAAGCATATGTTTATTCATCATGTCTTTCATGAGTTGATGATTGGTCCTAGTGGTCTGGATCACTTCCGTTATGCTAAGGTAGTTTGTACCTTTGCACCTTTTCTGAAATTGCAGTTATAGTACCTGCCAATTTTCCTTTTGCACATATTCTTATGTGTCCGCATTTAGCAGCTGGACACAAATGTTAATAATGTGCAACTAGGTAAAATAATTATTATGACTGAATGACAGTGAAGAAAAACTGTTGTGTTTTCTTTTTATAGTGAATGCATGCTTTTTGTTTTAAGTCTATCTATTAGATGACTAAGCTTGGACATATCAGTTTTTGTATGACTAAGAAAGGACAACCCATGCTAAATTAAAACCCTTCAGCTTTTACCGTCAATCATAGCTTGTTAAGACTTTCAAAGAAATGGCAGACTGGGCTGCAATGAAAGGTCAGAATGATTTCAGTTGGTCAACACACTTCCCTCCTACAGCAATTTGTGTTTTTGTTACACATCTACCTCCTACGCTGTTTACACTCTAATCCTCTGATGCTTTACTTACCAGTAATGCCCGAGAGAAGTTAAGCTTGTCAAACTAAGCTTGCTTCACACTTTCCCTGACTCACAATCCATGTAACATCTAAAACACATCCTTCATATATTTTAGACCTACCTACATTAAGCTGCAAACCTCCTCCCTCACACCAAGACCACACTATCTGCCAGTAGGCTCCCACTTTAGAGAGATTGAGGCTTGTTGGAAAATATAATTATGGATGATTGGACTTTAAACTCAAACTACCTTGTACAGTATACTAGGACAAATAAAACCACAGTGACATGAATGAGCAGTTGGCAACATGTTTCACTATTTAAGCTCACATTAAAGGGGGCGCTTTATATATTTTTAATTATATAAGTTTATAAGCTTTAAAAAGTCCATTAGTCTAATTCAATCAAAAGTCAGTTTAATTTTCTAAATCTGATTTAACTTGGGGGAAAATTTCATAAAGGAAATTAAGAATTCACCAGAAAATGTCTTGAATTTCGGACAACTTCTGAAGCCCGGATGCAACTTAAGATAAATTGATGAGACACCTTACTCTTAGCCTTGGGTGTCATTTGTCATCCCTGAGTAAAACGAATCATGTCCTCTGTGCTTTGGTTCTGAGCTTCATAATGTCCCACAATCTCCTTAGAATCTTGTTTATTTTAAGAGGAACTGCCTTTTTTCATTAAGCACAGCTCTTCAATGTCTGGCAGCTTGACTCTTTGAAGCAAATTTGGAGAAAACATAAAAAAAAAACTGTGGAAACTTAAAAGATGCTTTACTAACTAAAACAATAAAACATAATTTAAAATGAATGGATCAGACTTGTTTCTAGGCTCAGATGGACATGAGGTGCATTAGTTTCTGTCTCCATTCTACATTTCTCTCTCAATCATTGACTCAGCTCTCAGAAATCCACACCAGTATTTTAATCGTGTGTACATTTTTATAAAACTGCCTTTTTTCTCTCTCCTGAAGACAAGATTATAATAACCCTGTCTCTAGGCAGTGTAATACCAACTCAAGGTGAGAGATCTGAACCGGTAATCCTCAGCAAAGTAGGAAAAAGGTTACAGGCTGCTAATAGTTGTAACCTTAGACGACAAATATAATTCACTTTAAACAGCATTTAGGCTTTACATAATGTTATATTAGGTACTTTAAATGTTTGGATTTTGATTAATCTTAAGAGCCCAGTCTGATTAATTAACTTTACTTTAATTACTTTTGTATCACAATAAAAGTGTTTATATTTTCCTGAAAACAACGTGGGCTACATTAATAATTGGCAATCCTTTTGGGAAAAGCCTGGTCTGATTTGAAGAGACGGCATCCATCCCACTTTGGATGGTGCAGCCCTTCATTTATTAGTCCTCCAAAACCTGACAGCCCAGGGTGCAGACCAGGAAGGAAGTCGTACTTTAACGCACCTCTCTGCAGCTTCTCTGCTCTTACCCACTCATTGCTCCATCCAGACAGTGTCTTGCCCACGACCAAAATCTAATAAATTAGAAATGTCCCCAAAGGAGTAAATCATGATAATCTAATTAAAATTAAAATAACTCCAATTGGGGGAAAAGTTAAAATGATTAGGTGTGGTTTAGTTAACATAAGATCTCTTTCTTCAAAAAGTCTGCTAGTTAATGACTTGATTTGTGTTAATCACATTGATTCATGTTGCCTTACAGAAACTTGGTTGCAGCAAGAGGATTATATGAGCAGAAATGAGGTAATTCCTTCTAGTTATTTCAATTTTCACATACCCAGAAATTGTGGGCAATCTTTTAGTCTGACTTACTGATTACTCCAAAGGCAGTTAATAATTACAACTCTTTTGAATATTTAATCCTTATTTTCCCTCATCCAGATTGCAAAGCAAGAAAACCTCTTTTTATATATATCATCCACCAGGTCCCTACTCTGAAATTTTAGAGGAGTTTTCAGAGTTCCTATCTGATTTAGTATTAAATAAAGACAGCGTCATCATAGTGGGAGATTTTGACATCCATGCTGACATTTTTTAAAAGACTAGAAGGGCACAAATTTCTATAAATGAAATCCAGTAAAACCACTGGGATTCAAAGTTACCTAATTACTAAGTATAATGTGTCATTTAGTCTTTTAGTTTAAATCCAGCTGCTCTCTGTGAACATTATTGAAGAAACAGCCTCATGAAAACCAACTTAATCTCAAAGCAATTTAAGTTGTAAATCAACACCTAAAGCCTCACATATCAACCATGACGTGGACTTCCATCATTAAGAGAAACAAAGATCCACAGCTCTGAATGGGTCTGTCAACATGGCAACTATCAGTCCTCCACTTACCAAATCTGGTCTTAGTGAAACTGTGGCAAGAGGATAGATACTGTAAAATTTAAATCCTTAACAACTACATTTTAAAGTTTGCTAAGGCACTCTGGTCAATGAGAAAAATTAATGATCTGCACTACTTGAAAAACTCTTCGTGGAGTGGAAAATAACTCTACAGTTCAACAAAAATACATCCTCAGCCACCGTGAAACAAGATGGTGGGAACATCTTAATTTGGGGAAGCTTTTCTACAGAGGAGGGTGAAGATTTAACAACACTAAACACACAGCAGATCTAGTCTGGAATAGTTGAGAGCAGCTCTCCACTTCATTGATACACATATGAGAACCACAATGAATGCATTTTATTTGGTTCAACAAGGTAAAAACAAATGTGACAAAACAGCAAAAAGCTAAGATAAAGAGAAAACATTTATTCTAATCCATCTAATATGGATTTACTCCAATCACCCTACCAGCAGCAAGAACATTTTAAATGCCTCAAAAAGTGGACGTTGCGTTTAAAGTATAAAGCTACAATCAATTATGGATCATCTGGGAGACATAGAGAATAAAACAGTAATGCCTAATTATTAAATTACCAGATTTTCCTATAAAATATTTGCATCATTCAAAATTTACATTTATTTAATTTCAAAACTTATTTTCAGACCATATAAGCATATAAAACTGATATGAGTAAATATCACTTAATCATATGGAAAAGCAACACTTTTTTTGCATTTGTCCACCTCCTATGGAGCTATACCTACAACAGCCATCTTTACTTTAAACCATTTTAAGGGCAAATCCTCTAACTTGCCCCACTTGTATTGCATTTCCTAAGTAATGCCATAGTATACCAGCGACATGGTGCATTCCCAGAGTCACTTATTCAATCCCATTTTGTGGGAATTATCTACTCAGAATTTGTGGAAAGGCTGGGAAATTGATGTTCCCGGAATTATTATTTTGTTTCTTAGATCTGAGTGAGCTAAGAGGTAGTTTGCAAAGATCAATTTCTATATGTGGAAATTGATCTTGCAGGGACATATGACAAAGGATATGCAGCTGTAACTGCAGCGCTAGCTGGTCCTGATTAAAGGGAAAGGTTAGTATAATTACATCCAACGTATTTTAGGTTTCATTTTGAATCCCTGTATGCTTCTCTTTCAACTTCCAAATTATGCGCCGATAAAATAAAGCTTGTTAATGTGAGTTTAGAGGGTATAAATCAGTTTAGAAGATCATATATCATTAACATCTCTCAGCTCAAAATCCACAGTATCTGTCTGAACAATAGTAATCAGTTCGATTAACATATACTTGAACAGGGCTAGTCATTTCCTAATCGTGGTGCTGGGGACCACCTGCCCTGCATGTTATCGATGTTTTCTCACTTTATCACACAAGATTTAATTGACTGCATTACTTTCTCAGCATGTCATCAAGTTCAGAAGAAGCCTTTTAATGACACGATCAAGCCTGTTGAAGCAGATAGAGATCTAAGAAATGCAGGATAGTGGCTCCAAAACACTCCGATTAAAAATAAATAAACAAATACAAATTTTTTAGGTGATGTAGCTCATATTTTAGACCTTCTCTGCAGGAATTCTATAATGATTTAGGAAGTGATTATAGGAAAGATGATTTAGAGATAAAATGGGAAACATGCCAAGTAATATTATGGTGTTAGAAACTATTACATAATGTTATTGCTAAGTGTCTCATCATAGCATCTATATTTACATTTTAATTCAGTAAACAATGTGGTAAAATGTGTTGAGACCTGAAAAGAAATTCTCTGAAGAAAACACTTGTGCTGACTCAATTTAAAACCTCTTCCCTTTTTACTCCTCCAGCTGCTTTCAAGACCTAAACAATCTTTTTAAATAAGATCCATTTTTAGATTACAAGCTGAAAGGCGTTGCAAACAGCACATAAGGGAGCCCAGTTTAGGAAATTAGATGAGCCTGTGGTGCCCCTGTGAAAAGTAAACCTATCCATTCTTTACACAGCAGAGTCTGCTTACAGATTTCAAGTAGTCCTGGTGTGTATTGGAAAATTTGAGCTGATTTTATTTGCGGACAAACAGACTGGTGTGTAAACAGGTTACAACTAGCTCATGGTTATAAAATGTGGCAAATGTGTTTACCTGGAGACACTGGGCTGGAATGTTTGGGCTCCTTCTCCGTCTGCTTTGTTGTTATTTCCTCATCTCCTTCATATCCACCAGGAACTTTGGTTCCTTCCTCTTCATCTGTTCCCATCAGATAGTTCCAAGGTTTCCAAATTGACTTCACAATTTTTGTAATTGCCTAAAGAAATATGTAAACATATATTACTTAATTAATCTTTAACACTTTTTTTTTAGATGGTTTTAAAGAACATTGAATCCAACCTTCTTCTCCACGGGCGTTGGGTGAACTGGAGGTTGGAGCAACTCCTCGGAATCGAGCCCAGGCTCCACCAGCTCCCCCCAGTCAAAGGAGCTCTGCCCTGGGATGAGCTGGAGGGTCACAAATGAGTCTGATGACTCTGAAGACCAGGGATCCACAGCTATAAATAATATATATATGATTACTATCAATTAATGGAAAAAATAAAGGATCTAGACAGACATTGTTGTAGGACAGGTTGTGGTACACTAAACATCAGTATAAAACTCAATCCTAATATGCTTCACTAACAGCCAGGTGCTGATGTGGTGGCTCCCGAAAACTGTGAATTAAATACTTGCTTTTTTATGTTATGATCCCAAAGAAGTGTGATGACTTTAGAATGAGTTTTCTAATTCTTTTTTATTGTTTTGCATTTTATTATTCTGATATGTACTTATTTTTGTTATGTATTCATGTTTTTTCCATGTTTCTGTGCAATTGATCTAGTCTTCTTAGTCTTGCTTCCACCCCAGATGCCATTCATGTTGTTGACTGTACTCACCTGGGCCCCATTTCAGACAGTGGGACAAATCAGAACATGGAATAAGTTTTAGTGAAGTTAAAGACTTTGATGCAATCAGCCAGCCTTTAGATAACCTATTGCTAACTACCATCTTAGCTTCGCTGTACCATACCTAAGATTAAACTGGAATTACATTTGAATGTATATATGTGATTAGATGGTATAAGACCTATTTAATGACAGGATATATTTCTGGATATGAATGGACTCTGTTATAAAATACAGACATATTTAATAAATTAAAGTCAACTTTGTGATTAGTTTCATTTATCTGATTAAACGTTCCTTTTGAAAACAATCTTTAAGCAGGTATTAAACCCACTTTTTAAAAGCCCAAATTTCTGTATCATGTTTTTTTTTTTTTGGTTTTGTTGTTATAATTTCAATCTTAAATGTTCTATTTTCATTAGCTGTTACTTGGAAATATTAATTCAATAATTAATGTATGTAATGTGTTTTTAAGACCAAAAATATGTGTTTCTGTTACATGGGTATTATATCATGGTCCTGTTACGGCCAACATATCCAAGGTCAGATCTCTGACCTAATAGCTGTCAGGTGAGCAAAAGTCACCATGAAAAAAAGTCATCATGTTTATCACTAAAGATAATACTATCATGAAGTGGTGTCTGAGAATATAGATGAAAGTTGAGTGGAAGGAAAAACTGTGATAAAACATCTCTACAAGTTTATTCAGTTTTGGTTTTGTGTAAGAAAAATCTTTCTAAGAAAATGACTTGTTCTATTTAATAAGGTGTAAGCCATAATCATCAAACTGACTTTATATCAATTAAAATCTTAGAATATATATTCTATTTATGTAATCTAAGTTTTAGTTATTTAATTGGATTTAGGAAACACCAGTTAAAGTATGAGCGCTGACTTACTGCTCTTGTTAGTGGACTCCTCTTCTTCCAGGTCAACCAGTCCTGTCCAATTGGAAGGAGAAACTCTGTCTTTTTCAGAGGAATCTATATAAATGTACAATCAAAACATTACTCATTACTAGTTAGTAGTTCATTTCCTCTGATAGGCTAAGTAATCGGCTCTTTTTAAGGATTGAGTTGTAAATGAATGTAAAACCTGTCAGCGTGGTGGTTTGCTGGGTAGTCACATTGGAGCTTTCTGGGTCTGCAGACTCAGCATCCCCTGTGAGGTAGCTCCAGGGCTTCCACAGGGAGGAATAAATCTCAGAGATGGGGCCTGCATCCTTCACTTTACCTGGGTAAGGAATTAAAGAGCCATTTGCTCACATCCGTCCTCTAAATTTATGAAAGCTTGGTGCATTTGAATTCAGCTAAAAATGGCAGCTCATTCATTGCAGATCAACTTCACATCTTGATATTTAACATTTCCTCTGCTCTGCATCTTTCTCCTGCAGCGACTGTCAATCCAGTGTTTACTTGGATACACAAAGCTGAGAGTAGAAATGAGGGTTGCTATAGTTACCCACATCGGCAATGACTGTTATAGTGATCTTTATTGTGTTAATAGCAGACAAGGCTTCATTTAAATGTGAGATGGTCCTTTTAACCACATACTTACCCCCTTCTGTTTTGTATATTTTATTCAAGGAGCAACACTTTAACTAAGTACCCATATTAAGTTCATGTTCTTGTGGTAAATCCAGCCTGTGGATTTTTATATATCATAAACCGTTACCTCTGTAGCAGTAGGCATCATATAATGCAGTAGTGTTGTCAGCAGTGGTGTTGGGTGCGAGGGTGTGGATTCCCCGCTGACTCCCTCCACATTCTGGGCGAGGCCAAGCAACAGGGAACCGGACGCTGCCGTCAGAAAGCCAGCCTGGGGCGCAGCTGTCCAGACCAGCTCTCCACGCCAGATAAAGCTGCCCCACTGTGGCCAGCTGGCCCCCGAGGGACACACAGCGGTCTGAGGCTGAAGACAGCGAGAGTCTCCCTGGGACTGAGGTGTGAAACACTTCGCCTGATGGAGGTGGACATTAGAAAAAGGTACATTAAACAAGCAAATGATTCCTTAGGTTTAGAAATTTTATTTTAGCAAATGTTCACGATAACTATGAAGTATAGGACAGAAGTATTGCAGCATTTCAATAAAGTCTGAGGATGTTGTTTTCTGTTTCATGCCACTCAGTTTTTAACAGTTTTACTTATCTTTACTATTGTTGATATTATTGAAATAATAAATATTATTATTCTTTATTTAAAGCTGAGAACGTGAACTCATATTTGTGACAGTGCTTGACAACAATCATGATAGTAAATACCAAGAAATTTCCTGCCGTTCCATTCTGCTCTAAGTGCAAAAACAGAAGGTCTAAGCATAAATTAAAGCATACATCTAATTGTGCCTGAATGTTGACCCCTGCAGATCTGTATGGGAGGAGACCCACAAAAAGAGCAGAGAAGATATGTTTTCAGAACATTGTGTCATTTTTCACTTTTTCAAACTGTTGGTATAAGCGCTGTTGAATCAGTAGCTGCACCCAAAGAGAGGACCAGATTAGACCCAGAGGAACCTGTCCCAGCCAGGTCACCTCAGGCTAAATATTTTACAGCATTTGCAGCAAACTTTTACATGTGTGCAGTTCGTCTTGACTAAAAGGATAGTAATGGTAAAACAGCCAGAGCAGGCAGACCTCCAGCTGCTCTAGTCTGCAGGGAGAGCAGCACACAGGCAGAGATAGATAAGCTAAAGAAAAATGCAAAAAAAAAAAAAGTCTGCATGACTCACCCAAAAAAAAAAAGTAAGGTACAGTATTTCTTTTATGTCGACAGACAAAATTGCATTAAAAGAATGAGAGTTAGTTTATGTTGCAATTCTGATTGTACCTGAATTGTTAATTTTATCTATTGCTTGAACCTTGTCAACCAATGATCACAAAGCTCCTCAGAGTAAATATTTTAGTTTAGATGAAGCAATAAATAAATAATGGCATTCATCTTTTAACAGAAAAAGCATAACTAAGGTGTTTGAGAGATAAAACTGCATGGTACATTTGTTTATTTATTAATTTATTTTTTCAAATATTCCTAGGATATATTAGTTACCGAATGACTTTTACAAAAAAAAAAATCAGCTCTGGTGGAAATAACTCGTAGCCCAAAAGAAAACCAACAACAGGCAAAACCAAGTCAGTGCTGATTAGTGCCTGTTTCCTGAATTTATTGAAGGTAAAAAAAAGATTTGATAAAAAGATTTATCCCCACAGTAGTGCTCTGATATTGCAACAGAATCTGATGCAAGCATCCGTATGAAAGCCAAAGGCTGTGACAGGTTTTGATTTATTTCATGTGTTGAGGTGTGTGTGTGTGTACCATCAAGTTCTTCAGCAAAACAGTACACATCAAACATCTCTTTCGGGTCTTTCTTCCCATAATTCCTGACTCCGGCAGAGTACTCCGTGTGTCCATAGCAACCTAGCTCTGGCAGCTGGACCGAATATCTGTGGACAGGAGCATGTAGGAGTCATGAATGGGAGTTAACCTTGTTATTTAGAGCTAATAATAGGAAAATAACAGCTTAAATGACTCAGAAGCATCTTACTGCACAAAGGATTTCTCAGCCTACATGCCAAAGGTTTTTGTTTTGAACAAATTAAGACTTTAAATGCCAGTTGATAATAATTTCTTATCTGTGTTCACATTTAAAGGGCAATGCATTTGTTTATATTCTGGAAAAATTACGAAGAAGAAGTGGCTAATGAGGCTGCACTGTGGAGCACTTGGTAGAACAATAAAAAAATAGCTGTCATTGCTTTACACAACAAATCTCTCTCTCTCTCTATTAATATATATATATATATATATATATATATATATATATATATATATATATATATATATATATATATATATATATATATATATATATATATATATATATATATATATATATATATATTTGATCAACAAAAAATGTGATGGACTTCACTGTTTCGGATAAAAAAGAGTTTTGAGTCCATTAGATTTTTGCTTGTTTGTTTCTTTGTTTGTTTTTATCCTCAATCTTTGTAACAGATAAAGAGTAGAAAACAGAACAGGCCTGGGTTAGGAGATGTTGAAAATATACATCAGTGAGGATAGCTGTTATCCAGCAATGTCTCCCATTGACTTTTCCACTGGTTTAGTTGTTTCCTGTTCTCATGGGAGCAGCTTAAGAACCGCAGTGTGACAGTACTCCTGGTGGCTCTTTATCACTGAACTGTACAAGTTTGTGAGCAGCTAGTGAAGTGGGATAACACAGTTAACCTTTCCAAAAAAAGTTTAAAAAATAATAATAATCCCTTGAAAAAAACACACAAAAAAAACCCTTGTTTGGGCTCCAAGAAAAAGAAAATATGTCATTAGGGCTAAAAATCAGGATTAAGGACCTTTAAGGTCAGTTATAAGAGAAGCAAGATTTCCCTATTTTAATGTTTCTGTGCTACATCACATATGAATAAAATTAATGGCACATTTCCAGGCTTCTCCGGGACATGTTGACATGCTGAAAAGGAAGTTTGGTTGAGTCAAATGACTTGCAGCAGAAACCCATCTACTGTAAATCAAGCTCGATTGCCTTTTTTGAGGACTAGAGATAAACACCACAAAGGGAAAGAAACAGGAACAGGTGGATATGAAATGGGGCTATGAACTGGCGAAGGGGCAAACTGACCCAGGGCCATGGCTATTGCCAGTAACTATTTAGCCCTGGTTTCAACAGGGCCTTGCTTTTTCAAAGCCATCTGGTGTGATCATCTTGTTTTCCTTAGACTTATATTAATGTCACTCCTGTTAGTTCTCAAATTTGCATGCACGATAATCGCATGATCACCCATGTCTCTCTAATCTCCTTTAATTACAATATTTGGCATTGATTAAAACTACAAACTTGGCTCTAAAAATTATTACCTGTTTAATAAAAACATTTGCAGGTGCATCAGTAATAAAGGCCACCATTTGTTTATTATTCAACAGCATTAAAACTAAGAAGCAGCCTTTCAGGCGCCCGGTCATGTCCTCACCGGACAGTCTGATCGGCCAACCATCCTGCTGGACAGCTGGCCAAACCGTCACGGTACGCCGCCCACAGCTGGGCTGGCGATGCCATCTGAGCCGAGTTTTCCTGGCAGGCACGCTGGGCCTCGTTGAAGGAGAGGGCATAACGAGCGTTTGGAGCCTGGTAGTGAAACACCACTCCTACACACGGAGACAGAAACAGGTGGTAAACAGTTTCAGTTCTCCTCTTCTGACAGATTCACAAGCTCAGGTTTAAAATCAATAAACAAGTGGGATCAGTCTGTGAGCGCATCAATGTGGCTGCAAACAGATCAATTGAACAGAATTTGTGCACGAGTGGAAAATAAACACAATTATTACATGTACTCCTTCAAAATATTTTAATTAAGTAAATCATTATACCAGTGGAAGATAAGACAACATGAGCAGTATAGGCAAAGGGAGCATCAAGCTACAGTAGGTTAAGCACTTAGAATGAATTTGCTGTACTCTTAATGAAAAATCACACATTATTTGCTCCCTATTAAAACTTTAGCAATACATTAATTAGGAAATCATGTTAAACGTTTCTGCTGTGTTTTTCCTTAACTTCCTTTGTGGAACCCAAACCCAGAGAGGATGCTGTACTTACCAGAGACCAGCAGAGGCACAGTGTCTCTCTCATAGTCGCTGCCCACCACAACCTGACAGTGGTAAGTTCCTGAGTCGTTGGTAAGGAGACCGGAGATCTCCATGGTAGCATTCAGAGGATTGGCAGCGTATCCTGGCAGTTTGACACGTCCACTGAAAGCCTTATTCACCTTGATTACATCACCTTTGGCGCACACAGAAAGAGATTACTAATGTTTACTAGTATTCTGTAGGTTTCACAAGCAGAACACAACATTTTTTTTTTTTTCACTTAGTTTTTATGTAAATTTTTGCAACTTACACAGACATACACATACAAGCCCACATTCAGGCTGCTGCTCTATACGGTATACTTAAAGAACAAAACAAAAAGTATATACAACAAGATAGCTTACAAGTAGAGTAGGTCACATGGTTAAACATAAGTAACTTACAAATATAAATGTAGTTAGTAATTAAATAAGCAGCACCAATGGAAATAACAAAAATGAAATAGAAAATACTGAGTAAAGATAAAAAAGTATAATAGAAATGAAATAGAATAAAATGAAGAAGAAAAAATCATGGCCGGTTTCCACCTATTAACAAATATGTCTTTTTGAAGCCTCGGGCAATAAGTTATTTGTTCCATATGATAGATTTCCCAGACCTTTTCAGTTCACATTGTTGGGATCCCTTCCTAGGGGTTTGTGTTACTGTTGGGATCTGAGGTTCTGTCTATCTTTTCTCCACCAGAGGGCGTATTGGATCTCCTGAAGCTGGAGATGACTTCACCAGCTGTTCCTTATCTGCTCATCAGGAGACCAGTATTTAAGTGGGCTGAGGACCACACTCCAGTGCCAGAGTGTTAGTCAGTCACGGTACAGCAAACCCTGAGCCAACCTGCCGGTCTAGTCTCCTGACTGCGAAACCTGAACCTGAACCTGATCCATTTTGTTTTCTCTGCTTCCCAGGTTGAAACTGCCTGAAACCAGAAATCCCCTGAAGAGTTTCTCTGTTGGAAATCGGTCTGTCTGATCTCAGTAGAACCCTGGAGAACCAAACCTGTCAAGGATCTGCCAGCTTGCCCCCAGAAGAATCTGGAAGGGAAACTGAAGCTGAAACCAGGTCATCTACAAGCTCTACCAAACTCAGCCTCCACCAAGCCCTTAGCCTGCCGTCAGCCTCTGGACCCCCCTGGTTCCCCCCCCTGGTTTCTCTGGACTGTGTTCAACAATAACCCTTTGAACTTTTTCCCTGCCTCCGGTTGTGTTCTGCATATGGGCTAGAAACCAAAACTCATTATGACACACATTTTGTATGTTGGAGAGTCAGGCTTCAACCATTTAACTGTGATGTGTTTAAGAGCTGCAATCAGTAATATTTATAGAGGGTATTTTTTTCCTCTTCCAGTAATGTCTTTTGGTAATAATCCAAAAAGTACCATCTCAGGATCTTTGTTGAAGGTTTTCTGAAATACTTTTTCTAAGGGCCTCGAATATCTTGTCCTACATTTTTCTCAATTTAGGACATGTCCAAAATATATGAGTATGTTCGCCGATGTGTGACCCACAAGTTCTCCAGCATTTATCTGAGTGTATGGACCCCATTTTAGATATAACCGCTGGTGTCCTAAAGAAACGTATTATTATCTTCCACCTAAATTATCGCCATGTATTAGAGTTAGCAACTTGATGCACTGTGGTAGATATTTCCTTCCATTTGTCTTGTTGTATATATAGTCATTTCACTTTCCCATTTTTCTTTGGTCTGTAGAGTTTTGTTAGGATCCATATCTATAAATAACTTGTATAAATGGCTAATAATTTTCTTATTCCCACTACCTGTTTGCAATTTTATCAAGAATTCTTCAATTTTAGTGGGCTCTAGGAGTTTAGTCCACGTTCTTTGTTTTGTTACAAAGTCCCTTAGTTGTAAATACCTAAAAAAAAATCTGTATTGGGGAGTATGAATTCTGCTCTTAATTGTTCAAAGGATTTAAGGCACCTATCTTTGTGAAGTTGGTGTAGATTTGTAAGGCCTCGTTTAGACCAATTTCTAAATCCTGGGTCCAAGAACATAACATTTTAAGGGTCCAATATAACATTGTTTACCACGTGAAAGGAAAATGATTGTATTTTTAATGTATTCTATAGGAATTATATTTGATGGACTAGGACAAAGTAGGGTTTAACTATAGAAGGGGGGGTGATATATTTATAATCTCTTTGTGCAAAATGTACTGCAATTTGGAACCACTAAACAATTACCCTTAAAGATATTTGAGGATGCTCTTTTTCCAAGTGGATCATCAAAATAACTGGTTCTCCTAATTGTCAATCATTCTGGTGATATGTTTATGTAAGGCCGTCCTAGGTGCTTGTCCCCGTTTCCACTTACCGGTGGTGAGTCTGACATAGTGGAAAAATCGCAAATCTTCTTTTGGAAAGTAAGCTAGTTTGAGCGATGCAAACAGCAACTTTTAAACAGTGCATGATGAGAAATGGGCTCGTCTATGCTCTGCACGCGTTTAATAGCCCTTCCCTCTCTGGAGCAGGTAAGGGGTTGTGCATGTGCATTTTCTTTTAAAGTGGAGAGGTTGGATCTTGATTGGATCTTGGTTGGATCTTGGTGCTCATGAAAGAATTTATCTGTGTGTAATTTAACCTTACTATAAGTCCAGCTGTTCAGTGAAGGAAAGATTGCTAGCGGGCATTAGAGAACAAAGATTTTTATGATGATCAAGGTGCACAGCAGGCAGGGAGCGGATTAGGGTTGTGGAGAGCTTTAAAGAAGGGATTGGGAGCTAAAAAAAATCAAACAGTTTTGTTAATGTTTTATTTTTTCACATCATTACTTCTGGATTTTCAAAAATGTTTTAAAAATTAATGATGCCCCTTACTACTCTTATCTCTATTTCACACCAATTTATATTCTCACTTGTTCCCATATTTTTGCAGCACCCCCCTTATCAAAATCTTTCTATTTCCATCTGTATTTACTTTCTCACATCTTTATTATTAGGAATCACCCTCACAGGAACAACCCTCACTTTATTTCAAAGACCTGGTAAGTGTACTCCAGGTCCAAACAAACGCTGAACAATGACATAATAAGCATGCTCAATAAACCACTTATACGCTGAAAGGATTATACTGTACAAGCTTGTGCTAAGGACTAATTTCCTTTACCTCTCTCACACTTTTAACATCTGCATTTCTAATGATTAAACAAACTAAAAATGTTACTTCTATTCACTGCTATGGAATGCTTTGTTTTGAATTATCTTATACAGCATACATAAAGGGTAACAAGGGGAACAGGGGTTTAAATCCAGCCAATGTAAGGAAGGAAATTTAGTGTAAAATTTAGCCGATGATAATGTTTTGCTGATCATAATGATTTGCCGTGGAAACTCATGAATATGGGAGGAGCCAAAAGAACACAAACCAGAATATAAAGCATAACTGAATATAACTGACTTTTCTAAAAATGGTCTTGTGATACCAATACCTTTGTAAAGAATAGTATTTTAAAAAATGAATGTAATTTAAATGTATTTAAAAAAATTAATCTAATATGGGACTTACTATTTCTATGGGTCAATGGTGGTTATAAGCAGTTAAAATTTACCAACACTAAATAACTGTCATGAAATGTGGAATCTCTTAGTAGTAATAAAAATGCTTTTTTTCTTAATTCATTTTAAGCATAAAGGTTCATAAAGACACCAACAATGATATCTGCTGTATTTAGGAAATTAACATAAACCCAAAAAACATCTATATTAAACGTCTTCAAATATTTTCTATCAAAGCATTAATAATAATTATATTCAAAAGCTTTTTTATTTACCTTTAGCTGAGAGTACTATGTTCTCCAGTGGAGCATCCCGCCCTCCTGGTGGTGGCCTGGTGTGAGTCCACAGAAGGTGTGGAGGCTCGACGGAGGAGCTGGTCCTGAGGGTGAAGACACAGGGGAGGACGGCTTTGCCTGCCAGCATTTGTTGAACTGGAGGATGGGTAATCCTACGCATGTTAACTATGGAGGACGCTGCACCTAAAGAAGTAAGAAACATAATTAGGACTTCTATGGAGCATGTTTACATAAAAGAAATGTAATTGACTAAAGATAGAAACGGTAAAATAAGTCTTTAACTCCCTGCTGATTTTGTAGGCTTTCTCACAAGACAGGAAAAGCCTGACTTTTCTGGAGTATTTTTTTAACAGAAAAACAGCATATAAACAAATCAAAGATTTTATTTCCTAGAGAGCACGAAGACTGAAGTCATTCAGCATAACATACTCTAGGTCTCACCTGACGTATAAAACCCAGTTCACAGAGTCAGAATATCATCAACAGCCAAGCATCCCAGTTTTAGTGGAAAAGGTCAACATCACTGCACTGAGGGAATAATTGATCCATCCGTGTACTACAGAAACATGGAGGAGGATCCAACTACAGCTAGATTGTTGACGATGGATCCTTATGAGTAATTATCACAAAACTCTCTCTAAATTCAACAAACGAGTTGCTAAAGATGAAGCAGAGCATCCTCCAGGCCACAATCCTGCTGAAAATCTGAAGCTTTGAGCATATTAGAAGGGGTTTATGTATTTGGAGAGTTTATGTGCTTCAAAATGGACAAAAGTCCCTCCCACGTGTTCTGAACTTTCTCAAATATTTTTTTTTCTTTTAGTTAAAATGATTTGCTTTGAGATATATTTATTTCAGCCAGTGGCATGCAAAATAATTATCATTGTTTAATACAATTTATCATTTTTTTTTTTTTTAATTTAACCTTTATTTAACCAGGAAAGTCCCATTGAGTTAAAGTAACTCTTCTTCCAGGGAGTCCTGGCCAAGAAGGCGGCTTAAAAAGTTACATTAACATAAAACCACAGGAGACAAGACAACCACAGCTACATATCATCTAGGCAAAATTAAAAACAACACAACAAGATTGGGCATACACATACAACCAAAAAGCAAACAGCAAATAAGGCATCCAATCAAAAACAGTTGCATCTGTCAGTTATTGATGATTTTAACAGGTCTTTAAAAAAAATTTATGGATGGAAGTACTTCAAGATTTAAAGTGGCTTGAAGTTCATTCCATACTTTAGGTGCAAATGATGAAAATGCTGTTTTTCCTAGTTCAGTTCTTGTAAATGGAGTATGTAAAAGTATTTTTTCTGATGACCTAGTCCTGTAAGTACTATCTTGAATGGAAAGTAAATTAAAAATGTATAAAGGTAGTTTACCCATAAGGGCTTTAGCAATAAAAGTCAGTAAATGAATTTTTCTCCTCATGTAAAGAGAAGACCACTGTACAGTTTCATAGAGAGTGCAGTGGTGAGTCCTAGCTGATGCACCTGTGATAAAACGTAAGGCAGAGTGGTACAGTACATCCAGTTTTTTAAGTAAGAATAAACTGGAGTGAATATACAGTGTATCCCTATAGTCAAGCACTGACAGGAATGTGCTCTGAACTAGCCTTTTCCTCGCAAGATAGGGAAAGCACTTCCTCATTCTAAAGAAAAAACCCAACTTTGGTCTAAGTTTCTTACAGAGGCTCTCAATATGAACACCAAAGGACATCTTATCATCCAACCAGATGCCTAAATACTTGTAAGATGATACTCCTTCTATTTTAGTGCCATCTTGTGTTGAAACACTAATGTTAGGTGAGGATCGTGAATGTGTGAATGTCATTGTTTTAGTTTTTTTAGCATTCAGTACCAACTTTAATTCAATAAGAAATGTTTGTAAATGATTAAAAGCAGACTGCAATTGTGCAAATGCAGCATTCACTGATGAAGCTGTGGTGTACAAAATAGTGTCATCTGCATAAAGATGCACTTTTGCTGTCATCAGGTCCTTACCCAAGTCATTTATATAAAGAGAAAATAAAATTGGACCCAAAACTGACCCTTGTGGGTCATTTTGGCTCATACTCTGTCTTTCTTTATTTTATTAAAGCATGTATAATGATTAGCTATTGTTTAATGAATCGAATAAGGATATTTACTAAATTAGAAGATAATTAAATAATATAACCCCCTTGTATGGTTTAAATGCTTGTTGCATATGTGGATTAAGGAGTCATAATTCATACAGTAATACCTGTTTTTTTGGATATACCATTTAACATTTAACAATTTATAAAGAAATGTTCCTATTTTTATGTGTTTTGGGATTTTTTTGTTTATTTTTTAAATATGAACATCATTTAACTAATAATAAACAATAAAAAATAGTGTCGTTTTACTCAGTAAACTATGTCAGTGTATTGTAGAACGTTGTTTTTGTAAAGTTTGCTACTCCTCACTTCCAGCTTGGAGGTGTAAGAAGGTTTTTAGACTGCACAGCCTGTTTAAATTCACCCTACAGCATCTCAATAAGATCCACATCTGGGGTCTCATTTATAAAAGTGGCATAAACACAAACCTGGGCCCGCACATCGCATGCATCACTTTCCAAACAAAGGTTGTGATCTATAAAAAAACAAAGTTGACGGGAGAAAGTGCGGGTCATTTATGCAAACTCTGACCCGTGCGTTCTTTCATTCTGGAGAAAACGAAAACTAACAGTGAGGAATTGAAACCACACTGCATCATGAATCCTCTCAGACACTCAGTTTCACCCCTCTTATATCAGTGAACAACTTTATCATAAGCACTTAAAACCACAGTGTGATTAATGCTTGTGCAGGTGAGCCATTTAAAATCCTTTACGAGACTCATAAGCTGCAAAAATCTTCTTTCTGATCGCCTCATACAGCCCCTTCAGAGCTCACTCAGCTTTTCACTTTCTCATGAACAGTCAGGAGCAAACAGACTAATATCTCAGTTCTAGACAGCATAAACCTTTTTCCAAATGCTGGATGTTGCCCAGCAGGCAATACCTGAGAGGTGATATGCTGTTTATATACTTAGTCATTTTTCTTTCTAATATAGATTTGACATTAATTTTTGAAATATATAATTTTTTTTCTTGTTTCTTTATATTGCTTGAGTTGCTAATGTTGACATTTTCATATTCGACATCTGTGACTCCTTTCTGCGACTCCTTTTTTACTCCCTGATCCAACCATGCCATCTCATCTAGATTTACAATCTCCAAAAAAGAAACTTGAGATAAGCATTTAATTATTATTTTTTTGTTATATAAAAAATATGTAAATTTTTAATGATACTTTGTTGTTTCAAGAGAGCCAAATTAAAGCAGTTTAATAGGATTATAAAAAGCAATGCTGATGGGAAAAAAAGGGTTTTAAAACAAAGTCTTGTGCAGAAAATCACAGAAGTAGAAACTGAAACCCACAGAAATGCTTAAATCTGCATTTAGATTGCCGGGTTTCACAAGCTGACCTCCCAGGGAGGCACTCTGTCAGCAGAAGAGTCCTTGTTGCTGCCCCTTAAATCACATGTAATCATAACATAACAAACCAGGGCAGAGTAACAAGCAGGACAGATGTAGAGAAAAAGAGATGCAGAGACCGGGACAGGCAGAACAAATCTACCTTTCCAATGTGACAATAGCCAGAGATGTTTGGTAGAGATCTTGAAGAGAATTTTTGCAGGCTTTTACAGAGATATATCTTTACTATAGGCTTTTTGTTTTACCCTTTAGGACTAAAACATCGTTTGATGATCAAACTTAGTAGTTCAGCTCTGATGCATCTATAGGCCTCTCTGAATGTACTTTGGGGTGGAGATTCCCTGAACTGTTATGCGGATGTGATGTCAAAAGGCGTCCATGTTACATAGATCCAACCAATCAAATTATATTCGTTATATTCAAGATGGATTTTGTAGATACTCAGAAGCGACCGGCATTAGCTCAACTCAGACACTAAAAGCAACTTCACATCAAGTAAGAACGCGAGCTATGAGAACAAGCAGAAGAGTTCTGCAGTTTTGTGTTATGAACACAGGTTGCAGTATCATTAGAAAACTTTATCATGCCTCTTTAATCAGAATAATATCTCTTGGTTGTAGGGATTTTATTATTATTATTATTATTAAATTAAATTCCTCCCATGATCAAAAACAGGTAAATTAGTCTATGTAACTTGGTGTATGATTATGTGTGTCTACCACCCCCTCCCTTATTTGTGCAAAAAATAAACTGTTCGGGAAACATTGACTTTATATCGTTTAAAAATGTACATTGAGCTATAACTCAACAATAATGCTTGGTCCGTTGCTAGGCAATGCAGGTTGGAGAGGATTTCTGAACCCATTTAGAGCTTTGAGAAGAACTGGGACTTTTAAGGTGGTCTTTTTACATCCAATCATGCTATTGACCAGTTCCCAATTAACCCATTTAGCAGCAGCATGTTCCTCCAGCTGTTTGGTTAAAGTCATTTACCCTTTCTGCCATTTGTTCCAACTGCCCTTGGGTTTGAAATTGTACCAACAACTTGCTATTATTATAGACGCCCCAATATTTGTGTTTTATTTCCTATATAATTCTGAATGAAATCCTTTCTCTTTTGATTTGTTTTTTTGTTTTTTTTTGAAAAATATTATTTGAACGTAGTGCCTTCTTGGTACATTTCCATTCATTCAACCATAATCAGTAGATGCTACGAGTTGAGTACCATTTGAAAATCTTGTTTTAATTAATTTCATAAAACAATTATCTGGATCTTGCACTTTCCTCCTCAACAGAAACAAACAGAACATGATTGAATGAGTAGAAGGACCACCATCTGTTGGGGTAATGATTAAATTTAGCAAATCAGGGATGCAGGTGCAGTTTCAATAACAATCCCAGGCTGTAGAAGCACAATGCATGCCAATTGCAGAAAAAGTAATTAAAGCCAAGAACTTATCTGAAAGCCAGCGGGCTCTGTGAGGTACAACAAACCTGTGATAATCCGGCTGCAACCTGAAGCTCTGAGATTGTCTGTATTTTGTTTCAAAATCAGGAATTTCCAAACATAATTGTGATGGAGCAGATGTTGGGCTAAATGGCTTTGGAGGGGGTCCAGCTTTATTCCTGCAAGCTTGTTCGCCAACATCCTCTGGATGTCACCTCTCACAGCATTAAAAAAAAAATGTAACATTTTTATTTTCTATGGTGAATGTGTTGTTTTGTATTGTAATCCAGTTCTCACATTGTCTTTATTCCTTCCAGCCTCTTTATCTTCTGGTGTTTTTCTTAAGATATATTTAGCTGTGTGCATCCAAACCAGGCAAAAAAGAAAGTAAAAAATGGAGGAGAAAGACAGAGAACTCACCAGAGCCTGAGGAGAGTAGCAGCATGAGAGCTAAAAAGATCTGCGGCCCAGCTGCAGCCCGACTTAACACCATCCTGGACCTGCTGAGAGAGAGAAGAAACATAAGATGGATGAAGAGCAAAACTAAATCACAGGTACTGCAGCAAAGACAAAAAGTAAAAAGAAAGAAACTTGAAAGGAGGCACTAATTAAATTTATGCACACATGTATAATGAGCTTTTTCTTCCGGGAAGTTTAAAGCTCCACAAGAACTACGGTTTTTCCAGTTTTCTTACAGAGCTGCTGGACAATATGACATCATCCTGCTCTGGTCCCACTGGTTTTGGAGTTCTAGGAGTTTGTTCTAAAAACCTATTGCAAGGGCCATTGTTAGGATCCTGAAGCATAGGATCTCAGCCCTACCCAGAAATAAGTTTTTATACCAGAGTACAAATATTTCAGTTCTTGCTGACTGGCCTAAGCTTTGCTACACTTAAATTACAAATGTTTTCACTTTGCATAAACTCATTATCATCCCAATCAGAAAACATTTAAGTAGTTCTACAAAACCGAGTAAAACATCAATGCATATTTTTCTGTTTTACGAAGAAGTGACATGCCTTCTGCAGAAAAAAACAATATGAAAATTAATTGATGGGTTTGTTCACCCAGAGTAGTGGTCTGCAACCTTTTAAATTCAAACAGCCACATTTTTAATGCCACCATAAACTGAAACCTGCCAAGAGCCATAATAAAGATTTTATTAATACTGAAAGATTTTCTACTTTTTGAATAATTTTACATTTTACAAAGAAAAAATACCATAAACATGAAAGACAAATAATGATACAGCCCGCCTAAAATATATAACACACATAGTTAAAGCTAAAAAAAAACATTCAATAATTTTAAAATCTCTTGTGCCACTGGTGCTGTTAAAGATAGTATATACAGATATTGCCTGATAATCACTATTGCCTTGATGGTTAAAACCATCTCTTAATCATGTTTTATTCAGTTTGGTTAGAGCCATAATGAAAGGCCCTAAGAGCAAAAATTGACCTACAGTACATGACAGGACTTAAGTTTAATTATCAAAACTGTTATTTACACCAGGGGGTCACCAACATGGTGCACACGGGCACCAAGGGGCCCTCTAGAACAAAATGGGGTGCCCTCAGCGTCTTCTATAAGTAGAACAACTTGACAGTGGGCTAAGTTTTAAATTTTATTTTATTCTGTTGCTCTCCTTTTTTAATAATTTATAGAGATTTCAAAATGACAATGTCTAAAATAAAAGTAGAAAAAAAGAAACAATAAAAATATGTTTGTAATGCATAAGTTTAGGTGAATGCTGACCCTTGTAGTTCATGGGTCAGCATTGGTAGCTGTGATTCACTACGTCACTAAATAGGATGGTATCCTTGATTTACACTATTCGACTTTCTGTTATTTATGGCATTTTTTATGCTGAATCTGTCTGATATTTGTGAATCTGAAACTCAGACTTTGTGTTTAAATCCCATTTTCTCATCTAAGCACAATAGGAAAACCATTTTAGATAACTGGCTGTGTCTGAAAGACTTTTGTCCCTGTGATTGTGCTTCCCTGGAGACCTCAAAGCTTTAGAATTTGCTTTGTAGCTCTTCTTTAGACAGACAGATGTTATTGACCTTGTTTTTCTTTTTCTCCATTGATTCCTCTGTATTGAGAACAACATATTGCTGTTTATTATATTTAAATCCACGTTGACAGATGGCTTCTATTTAGGGGAGAAGATTTTAAAAGTCTGACAGTTGTCAGCCCTGGTTGTGGCTACTAAAAGAGAGCAAAGATACACGGTTGTTCATAGTATTACAAGTAGTGTCTATATCTCCAATGAGGGTCTGGTTGGTTTCTTCAGCTTTTTAACTTAATAAATCATTATTTGTAAACTGCTTTTTGCATTATCTAGTTTAGATGTGCCTTCTTTTGCAATAAATCTCATTTAACTAATAAGTCATAGTAGGGAATAAATGCATCTCAGCCAGAGGTACAGATAAAATGTGTCATGATGGGTATCAGGGAGGCCCAATATGCAGAACACTGACGACACGGATGGAAAGTTTAACAGAGTTTATTGGCAAATTCACACATATAATAAAGACTGATGCAATGGTTCTGGGCTGGGACCGGTTCACTGGCGTCTGTGAGAAAGACAGTTTGGTTAGCGAAGGCTTTGTTGAGACTTGACTGATTGTGTCTAGGTTTGTACCTTGATGAACGTAGAGGAGGCTTTGGGAGCGGAACTGTTGGGTCCGGAGAAAGCTTGGGTTGGCAGAGTCCTTAAGCTGTTTCAGCGTCTTACTTCTAAAGGCTGTTTTGACCTTGGCTTGTGTTTCCAGCTCGGTATCCAGAGCTGCTAGGAAATCCAGAGAGTGAGTCTTCAGGTTTGGCTCGGAGGGCTGGCTCGGCAGGTTAAGCTCTTCCAGAGCTTCACAGGAGAAAGACCAGGAAACCTGGAAGCAGAGACAAAAGGGTTAGAATCCAGGTTGGACTCAAAGGAGACTTGGTTCACTAGGGATCTATGGCTTAAGTGCTAACCAACTGATTAAGACACTGCGGCGTCGAGGCAAGGTCTGAAGGCAGCTTAAGTAGTCCAGGTCCTCCAGATGAGATCATAAGCTGCAGGTGTGCAGAGCAGCTCAGCAGGGAGGATCCAGGGCGGACTCTGCTGGAGAAAAGGTGTATTTCTCCAGCTCCCAACAGTACCCCCCCGTCAACGACCGCCCCTTGGCGGTGCGGAAGAGGTAGACGGGAGGGAACGCTCATACTCCTCGATGAGAGAAGGGTCGAGGATGTATGAACCAGGAACCCATTGTCGGTCCTCCGGACCGTAGCCCTCCCAGTCGACGAGGTACTGCCAACCGCGACCTCGCCGACGGGAGTCCACGATCCGGCGAACGGTGAAGGCCGGATGTCCATCGACTTCCAGGGCGGGTGGAGGGGAGTCGGATGGAGGGCAAATGGGACTAGAGATGACTGGTTTAACCTGGGAGACGTGGAACGTAGGGTGAATCCTGAGTGTCGGGGGAAGTTGAAGACGGACGGCGGAGGGGTTGATGACTCGAGTGATCTTGTATGGGCCGATGAATCTCGGGTATAATTTGCGGGACATCCCCTTGAGGGGGAGTGGACAGCCAGACCTCCTGGCCGACCTTGTACTCGGGGGCTGGACGTCTCTTGGGGTCAGTGAACCTCTTAGAGGACTCAGAGGAACGGTTGAGTGCTTGGATGGTCTCTCTCCAAACACGCTGGCAACGACGGATGTGGTGATTGACAGTCTTCACCGATATCTCTCTCTCGGCAGCAGGGAAGAGAGGTGGTTGGTAGCCGAGGCTAACTTGGAAGGGAGACTGACCGGTAGATGCAGACTTGAGTGAGTTATGGGCGTATTCTATCCAGGTGAGATATTGACTCCAATCGGTGGGATTATTGGAGGTGAGACAGCGGAGGGTGGATTCGAGGTGTTGGTTCATCCTCCCAGTTTGACCATTTGACTGGGGATGATAGCCAGAAGTTAGTGACACTTTACAATTTAGAGCAGAACAGAAAGCCTTCCAAACCTGTGAGACAAATTGGGGACCACGATCTGAGAGAATGTCCTGGGGAATACCATGGAGGCGAAAGACGTGCTTGATCAGCAACTGGGCGGTTTGAAAGGCCGTAGGGGGACTGGATGTAGGCGAGATTCTTGTGGTCAGTCCACACCAGGACTGGATGCTCTGCTCCTTCGAGCCAGTGTCTCCACTCTTCCAAAGCCAACTTAATGGTCAAAAGTTCTCGGTCCCCAACGTCGTAGTTGTGTTCTGCGGGAGAGAGTTTACGGGAAAAGAAGGCACAGGGATGGATTCGTTGATCAGAGTCGAGTTTCTGAGACAAAACTGCCCCTACACCGGAGTCAGAAGCATCAACCTCTAGGATAAATTGCTTAGATGGATCTGGTTGGATTAGGACTGGAGCTCTGGAAAACAAGGTTTTGAGTTTGTCAAAAGCTGCTTGTGCCTCGGGGGACCATCGAAAAACTCTCTTGGAAGAAGTTAATGCAGTTAATGGGAGGGCGGTTTGGCTATAATTTCTGATGAACCCCCGGTAGAAATTAGCGAAGCCCAAAAATCTTTGTAGCAGCTTACGGCTTTCTGGAACGGGCCATTCTAAAACAGCTTTTATCTTTTCTTCAGAAGGCTTAACCTGCCCGCCCTCGAGCTCAAACCCCAAAACGGTAACTGAAGATTGGTGAAACTCACATTTTTCAGCCTTTACAAAAAGTTTATTCTCTAGAAGTCTCTGAAGAACCAGGCGGACATGTCTCTTATGTTCAGATAGATTCTTGGAGTAGATCAGGATATCATCAATGTATACGAATACAAACACATTGAGAAAGTCTCTGAGGACGTCGTTCACTAGGGCCTGAAAACATGCGGTGGCATTTGTTAAGCCGAAAGGCATGACCAAATACTCGAACTGGCCCAAAGGAGTCTTAAATGCCGTTTTCCATTCATCTCCTTCACGTATCCTAAGGAGATGATAGGCATTTCTTAAATCGAGCTTTGTGAAAACGGTAGCTCCTTGTACAGGCTCAAAGGCTGAGGCGAGAAGAGGATATTTGTTTTTGATAGTGATTTGGTTCAGGCCTCTATAATCTATACAGGGTCTCAAAGAACCATCCTTTTTTCCAACAAAGAAAAATCCTGCGCCCAACGGGGATGAAGAAGGGCGAATAATTCCTGCAGCTAGCGACTCGTTAATGTATTTTTCCATTGTTTCACGTTCTGGTTTGGAAATGTTATAAAGTCTACTGCTGGGTAACGGAGCACCAGGTAATAACTCGATGGCACAGTCGTATGGTCCGTGTGGTGGAAGGGACGAAGCACTGACCTTACTGAAAACAGGAGCCAAATCATGGTAATCAGGGGGTACCGGAGTAAGGTCAGGGACGTCCATCTCCCCCCCACCTCTAGGGGACCCCACAGCGGGAGCTGCAGAACGGAGGCAGGTCTCGTGACACAATGTGGACCAGGACTCCACATGACGATCGGCCCAATTAATATGGGGATTATGCTTC